TCTTGGGTAGATGAGCAGGACCTGGACAATGCCAGGGATGCCATCGAAGACTTCGAACAAATCTCATTCATCACCAAACCTCCAGCGGAGTGGTGGGAAAACGAAGACGAATCCGATTCATGGTCCGAACACGAATCAGTAACAGAGTCGGAAACCGATCACCCATTGGTACAGGCAATCCAAGAATACCTGATAAAACCAAACACACCCTCTCTTGTAGGAGCTTACCTTCCAAAACCAAACTACGTTGCAGTCGGGACGACTGCCTTAACAGGGGGGTAATATTACGATTTTGCGCCTTATCTTATCTTATCGGCTCTATCGTAATCTCGCTATGCTAATCTTCCGGACTTGATCGCATTCACCATGCGGGTATTGTGTGTTTAACGCACCGTTGCAGACATTTGTAGTATATTTAGCACGACCCAAACTGTATTTAAGTAGCTCGACTGCAGGTCTTACACCTCAGTCTCGAACTAAAGTTTATTCACCCGATAACTTAGTCTGAACTCACTCTCGCTCAACTAAGCGATAGCTCCCTTAACTCAAACCTGCGGACAACATAAAGCGCCTGACCGAAGTGCGAGTCATGCTTAGTTGTTTAGTCTTGTTTGTTGTATCGGTCGCTAACAACGTGCTAGTGCTATCATGGACATCGACAAGCTCCACTCTGATATCAAGAATGCACAGCCATTGGATTCCGCTGCCACCAAAGGCTTCCGACTCGCATCTTCCCCTTCCAACTCCTCTCGGTGGTCCATGGATGAATCAGGACTACTACGTCTTGACAGTCACATTTATGTCCCGGACTCTGATGATCTCCATCTTCGCGTTCTCCAAAACAATCACGACCACATCTTGGCAGGTCATTTTGGTCAAAATTGGACTCTCGAACTTGTCCAATGGAATTACACCTGGCCACAGATGTGTGAATACATTCGCCACTACGTTAAATCTTGCACTACCTGTGGACGTAACAAAACACCTAGACACCGTCCTTTTGGCTTACTCAAACCATTGCCAGTCTCAGAACGCCCGTGGGATTCCATCTCCATGGACTTCATCGAACAACTACTGGATTCCAATGGATTCACTGCTATCCTTGTAGTGGTCGACTGCGCAAGTAAGCAAGCAATTTTCATTCCTACCCACAATACCATCAACTCCGAAGAGCTCGCTTGGTTATTCGTTAACCATGTGTTTGCTAAACATGGCGTCCCCAATCATATAACCTCTGACCGTGGCTCCAAATTTGTCTCCCAGTTCACTCGCGCTCTTGCCAAAGCCTTGGATATGGAGCTTCACTTCACTTCCGGATATCACCCGGAGGCCGACGGACAAACTGAACGCGCTAACCAAACTCTGGAACAGTACATCCGCATCTACTGCTCCTATCAACAAGACAATTGGGATACCTTACTACCCATTGCCGAGTTTGCTTACAACAATGCTCCCAATGCTTCCACTGGAATCTCTCCATTCTTTGCTAACAAAGGCTATCATCCCAATATCACCGTACATCCTGAATGTGACATCGCCTCCGCTCGGGCCCATGACTTCATCGTTAACCTCGACGAACTCCACCAATTCCTTCAAGATGAAATCACTTATGCTCAGTCCCGTTACAAATTACAAGTGGACAAGCGGCGGTCCCCGGCTCCTGACTTCAAAGTAGGTGACAAAGTCTACCTCAGTTCCAAACATATCAGAACTACTCGCCCTACTGCGAAATTTGCCGAAAAATTCCTAGGACCATTCAATATCATTGCTCAGCCAGGATCCCATTCCTTCACTCTCAAACTCCCGTCGGACCTCCACTCCATTCACCCTGTGTTCCATGTCTCCCAACTTGAACCCGTGGAGACCAATACTATCCCTAACCATACCCAACCTCCACCACCTCCAGTTGAAGTCGACGGTGAAGAACAGTATGAGATCTCTCAAATCCTCGACTCTAAACTCGACCATCGGTTCTGCTGTCCACTCCTATACCGAGTCCAATGGTTGGGTTATGAAGGTACCGATGAAGAGTTTGCCTGGATCCCCGCTACAGAATTCTCCGCGGACGAATACATTGAAGACTTCCACCAATGTTACCCAGACAAACCAGGACTGCTATCCAAAGTCACCATCCACAAAGTCTCCCTCAAACCCTCGCCCATTGCTTCTTGACCTACTTATAACTTATCGGCTCCCTACGGTCTCCGCTCCTCAAATTTCAAATCAAATCCTGGAAAACTATTGCAAATTACCTTCCTAATTGGGAACAGAGCCTATCGGGTGCCTATTTCTTGCTTTCCTTCTCCCTCTTACTCACTCAAGCCTACAAGCCAAGATATATATATATATTTATGCCCATCGGGGCCCGCGCTTCAAAATCCGTGTACAAGACAACATCCAAAAAATATATACAAGTCCAAGAAGAGCGCCTAGGATTCCGCGCGCACCAACTCTCCCATCACCACATCCTCGTCCACCCTATCTTCCCTTCCACTTCCTTCCTCCTCCTCATCACTCATGACAATAAGCTCCAGCTCATCCAGTGCCGGAACGCCGATGGCACCCATGCCCGGGCACATCTCATCCCTCTTCTTCTCCTTGGGATCCAATTCCCCTTTGGAATCCTCTACCAAAAACTCATCCGCATTCTCCAAATACCTCTTCCACAATGCCCACTCAATCTGATGGCCTCTGAGTGCATAGAACTTGTCCCTTGTGTCTAAGAAATGGTCGCGACGTTTGATGGCCAATCAAAGACCATCTTTCCCAAGGCAGCCATACCAAACTTGCATGTTGGCGACCTCGAAGGGATCCGCAGCATCGAGGGTTTCAGTACCCGTCATGTGGGCATTCCACAACTGGGCAACGTCCTTGTCAAGTCGCATACGCATCGCAATCCGTAGGGCCTCTGAGTTCATGTTCTTGAGGTTCCCAAGCTCGACCTTCGATGCTGCCCATTCCTCCCTAAACTCCTCCTCGACGAAATCCGACAGCCACTCTGGAGCATCACCCTCATGAAAATCGTCGACCAAGTCATCGACGCGACTTCCAAGGAAATCCACCTTTCCCTCTACCCTTTCCAAGCCTTCCTGGAAATCGTCCATCTTGTCACAAAGTTTTTGTAGGAGGTCAATGACCTCACTGGACCCCGCGGATCCCGAACCTTCACCTTGTGGGAACACGCACTTGTTTTTCTTTAGTTTGCACTGTTCGCAAGTATGCCCGCAGCGAATGAAACATTTTATGTTGTCTGTCTTACAACATCCACAATGCTCTATGCACCAAGTCAGCAAAACAGTCGGAACCCGTGGGGAGGCTTACCATTATCCTTATATTCCTCGTCATCTGCCTGCATCTCAGGCTTGGTTTTCAACTTCTTCAACGGACGCCCCGATGGCCCTGTGACTTCCTCCTCTCCACTCAATACCACCACACTGGACTTGGCCTTCCTCTTCTTTGAATTCCCTGCAGCCTCCGAATCCATTGCCTTACCCTTACCCTTCCTATCCTTCCTCTGCTTTACCAATTTTTTCAGCGCCTTCCCCTTCGGGTCCTTCTCCCGCTCGTCATCTCCGTCAGACCCGCTACCAACCTTGCTCCCCTCATTCCCATCTACCTTCTCCCTCTCCTTCTCCGCCTCCACGGCCTTGCTAGCTTCCACCAAAGCCTTTGCCTTGGCCTCACCATCTAACTTCTTCTTCTCTGCGGCTCTCCTTTCCTCCAAGGCCCTCGCCTCCTCTTCCAACCTCTGCTGCTCTGCGGTGGCCGCCTCCGCCCTTGCCTTTGCCTGTGCCTCCTCTTGCCATTTCCTGTCTGCGGCCTCCCGCTCCTCCCTCTCCTTCCTTGCTTTGGCTTCCGCAACCTTCCTTTCCTGCACCAACTTTTTCTCTCGCCGTTCTAACTCCAGAGCCCACCTCTTTTCCTCCTTTTGCTTCTGCACCTTCCAAGCCTCATGGGCCTCCGCGGCATCCTCCCTGGCCTTCTCCGTGGTGTCCCGCTCGTCATAAAAGGCCTCTAGGTCTTCAGGCCGAATATCTTTGGGCGTCGGGGCAGGTTTGTATGGTTCGGGTGTCACGGAAGCGCGGTAATCAATGGTGGACGCCATGGCCAACGACGAGGACAAAACTCAGAAAATGGAAGAGATGGTGGTGGTAGAAAGCTAAGAGGTGAAAAGCCACGTGATCAACCTGAAAAAATTCCACATGGTCACACTCAGCCATCGGGATCTGCGTCCTTGAGGGCAAGAACGCTAAGGGGGGGATACTGTAACGAGCATGCCGATGGAAACCCAACTTCCACTCAACCCAACAAACCACAGCCCGGAATCCTACGGATTCCGATTCCCACTTTCTATTTCATATTCTATTTCATATTCCTTTTTATATTTCACTTCTCCATTACAATTTATCAATAGCCCAACATCGGTAGCGAACATGTCATCGGACCCCATCGGCTACCGACCGGTAGAATACATCCTCCGACAACCCTAGAATGTAGACCACTCCGAGTAGGAACTAGATCGGACTCCTAACTAGTATATAAGCCTTAGAATTACACTGTAGATACTCAGTTCGAATATCAACTTGGTTCAGCCCAATCTCTCTCTCTCTCTGACTCTAAGTCTAAACTCTTGTTCTCCAGTCCACGGAACTCCGATCCGTTGGACTTATCTCTTACCTCGTCTCTGCCACTCCATGGACTTCCGTCCGTATCCATCTTAGGGCTTCAGCTCAGGGGTGACGTTGCTAATAGCTTCACCTATGCCCGACGCATCCCACAGCATTCCACTACATGCACTTTCTGCCGCAATCCTATTGGCACGATCCTAACACAGTTGCACACACTCAACATTTTCCCTATCAAGAGAAATCAGGTATGTTATTCTCAAGTATATAATATATAATACATATACTGAGCTTTTTTTAGGAAATGCCTGTTTTCTGTGCTGCCCAGATTCATTCTTCCCTGGAGGTGTGAATCAACATGCTACAGGCACAATCTGCCCATTTTGCATACCATCAATCCCATTGGATCCCTTGAAGCCTCATAGCCTTCTTGCCCACATTGGAGCACACATCTTGAATGAATCAGATTTACCTTCAACAGAACCTTGCGGGCTTTGTGGTTCCCCATCACCTAGCTGTCAGTATTATCTGACAAGGAGTACTAAAGGGTCCACTCGGACCAAGATTGATTATCATACATCAAGGGGCTGTCGAAACCTAGCTGTCAGGTTTAATTACAGTGTTGCAAAGGTATCAAAGGAATCAGCACCTTGCTCTAATGTCCCAATTCGCTGTCCGATCTGTCCTCCAAATGCATTTGCAATCTGGAAGTACAATGCCAAATATCATTTTATCAATCAGCATCCCACAGTCCAATTAGATCGGTACAAAGATCTGTGGAACATCACAGAGTCAGAGATGAAGGCAATGAAAGAGGTCTGGAAAAACCGAACACAAATACCAAAAACAAGGGGTCCCAAAAAGAAGAAGGGTGGGCTTGGTACACTGGTAATGTCTAAAACTCACACAATTTCCCTTGTTCAAAGGTGTGTTCTTAATAGTATCAAACAACATTAGCATTGACATTTTGTAGGACATCCGATTTAATTTCAGGTGCTGGCAATAGGGACAGGGAGTCTGGTGAAAAGGATACATCCCCCCAAGGTGAAGAGAAAGATGAAATCTCGAGCGTCCACAGCTTCAGTTCTGATTTGGGTGTTGTCCTCGATTTAGATCTGAACGAAATATCAGAACGCGAACCAACGCGAACAGAGACGGGCGTACCCAGAGTCAACGTTGGATTAGCACCCGCACCCACACCCATCACAGACCCATCTCCTGGCTCCGCATCCTTATCACTGTTCCTCGAACCCTCCCGCAATACACTTGTCAGAGGGCAAGCGTCGTCTTCCAGTTACAATGCAGCTCGTGAAACCCTTCCTATCCGTCCGCAAAGCTCCGAGTCATCTCACGCCCTCGAAAAGTCTTTCCAGTCCATTCCACTTCCTGCCACGCTATCAGCTGAACGCAATCCCGTCACAGAACATCAGCCGGATGATGTTGCCAACAGCACTAGAATACGACGATTAATGAGAAAGCGGAAGGCAATAGAGATGGGTCCATCTAGAAATTGCTTATGTGGTAATATGGTTCTAGAGGAGGAGCGCGCAGCGGCAGCAAAGTGTTCTTGGGAAAGCTGTGAAACAATCTGGGTGAGCATCACACTTGTAAAGCTAAAAACTATACTCACAGTGCATCAAGTTCCATCTGGCGTGTCTTCAGGTGGAGTATGTGCCTTCCGGATGGTCTTGCGGGGCATGTAGAAAAGGGAAGCGACGGATGATGTAGGGGAAGCGAAAGTGTGATTTCCGGGGGGGTCAGTTTTTTGAGTACTGCATTTATATCACGATGTTATAGACCACGCGATATAGTAGGAGTCGGGTCCACATAGATTCACATAGGTAAGGTGCTGCACGCAATAATATTTTGAATAATTGATCCTATGTGGTTGGTTAATACTTGTTGGAACCCTCTTGAGCCAAGTACGAAGTAAAACGATAGCTTTGCCTCACTTCTGCTGCTCGCTGTGGTCCCTGTCGTGGTAAATGGTCTCTTGTATTGGGAAATGTCGACCAAGATCTTGTCGATTTTGGCAACGGACTTGTCCAGCAGATCTTGAAACTGCATGAGAATCAATGTATGGATGCGAAAGGACTGCAAAGAGTACGTACCCCGTCGAGCTCAACAGACCGCTTTCCGTACGCTCGTCTGATGGAGCTTGCAACACTGCACGCGTGATTCCTCTGCCTTAATCCCTGCGGTAGCGACGACCAGCTACTTGACATCAAGCGTCAGTTTGGGCACGGGAATCCTCAATGTCCGTGTATCCTGTCTCTGGGGCGTGATGGAAGGTATTTTGGCATCATGTATCGCAGCCTCGATATATTTGAGGTTCTACTGCTTTCATCAGTCCAAACCAGCGAAACATTGAAACACTCACGTCAGAACGCGTTGATTTCGGGTCTCTTCTGCTAGGATTCGGGAACGGGTCGCGCTCATGAGTTGGTGTACACGGTTAACATGGGCGGAACAAGTACGAGACAGAAAAGTGGTTTTATAGTCAGACCCGCCGACTATTATATTTTAGTCGTTGTGAAGGATCTCCCTCTATTACCGAGAAATCCCTCAACGTCTTCTTCATGTCCACTGAGATCTTGTCAATCTCAGCGACGTGTTTGTCGAGCAAATCCTGAAACTACTTGAGAGTGAGCATACATACTGGAAGGAGCTGCAGAGAGCACGCACCATTTCGAGTCCAACAAGCCGCTTTTCGTATTTTCCCTTCTTCACGCTCGTCTGGTGGAGCTTGCGACACTGCACGCGGGCTTCCTCCGCCCTTTTTCCTGTTGCTACGACGACCAACGACTTGGCGTCCAGCGTCGGCTTAGGCACGGGGATCCTCAACGTCCGCGCATCCTGCCTCTGAGGTGTGATGGAAGGCATTTTGGCATCATATATGGCGTCCTCGACGTGTTTGAAAGTTTACTACTTTCATCAGCCTAATCCAACGAAGAGCTGAGACACTCACGTCTTCATCGAGCACTGTCATGATGAGCATGCTCCCATCTCAAACTCCGACCGTCGCTACTTCTTCAAGTTTATGACCTTGGACGCGGACACAGGCGTTACTCGTCCGGAAACGCGTGGGGAGGCATCAGCACAGTCCCTTCTGAACCATTCGACTGGAATTCATTTCTTCCTGGTATTTTTCCTGTTCGACGATGTCGATTGGGTTTTTATTTAAGTGGTTGTTGGGAACCCGGTTTTTGGGAAGACGTTGACTAGGCTTTTTAGGGAACGCTCATCATTGTGTGAGGATACTCTTGTTATTAGAGAGCAGATTGAAGGTTGACTACTTTTACGATGAAGCGTCGGGTCAAGGAGATACGAGAACGCAAGAGTCTGCATTTGTTACAGTGAAAGCTTCGTCAGGAGATCGGTCCGATAGCCGAGGCGTTTTCACAACCACGATGGCAAGACCTACGCACTGTGAGTGCCTGTGTCTATGCGCTAATCCCAGCTCACCCTTTGCAGTTCTGTCAATTCCTCTCGGCCAAACACATCCGACTCTCCGTGCCCGAGTTGCTGATCTCCATGCCGCCCTCAACCTTCCTGCACAAGACTCTACGCTGCTCGCAGGTCCTCAGCGCGTACATCTCACCCTCGGCGTCATGAATCTCACCCCCGAGACCCTTCCGACTGCACTCGACCTCCTGCACCGCCTCCCGACTCTCCTTCCGCTCACAGACATGGCCCCGACCGTTACCCTTGACACGCTCGATGTCCTCAGAAGGGAATCCCGCCGCCGCGCTCACGTCTTATGGGTCGGTCCATCTCAACCCATACCCTTGTTCAGCCGGATCAACGAGATCTTCCGTGAAGAAGGCTTCATAACCGATATGCGTCCCCTCAAACTGCACATGACGCTCATGAACAGCACATACAGAAGACCTCGAACGAAACGCCCTCAGCCGTTTGAATATGACGGTATCCTCAGGCAGGCTGGCGTGCTGGAGTGTTTTGGTGTGCAGGAGAGCGAGTATGCTGAGCTCCCGATGGCTGTTACGATGGGCTCGTACGACGCGCCAAGAGTTCACCTCTGTGAGATGGGAAGCTGGGATACGGACGGCGCATACGTTAGCTGTGGCAGTGCGCCACTATCAGCCAATCCGATGTCCATGCCCTAAAGCTACATATGTTAGCTCATCCCGTCCGTCGTTCGTTTTCCCTGTCACTTGACTGAGAATGTCATGCAGGGCACCGCACGACGAATTCGTATTCCTTTTTCGTCCGAGCGCAAAGTCTTGACCATATACTAGCTCATCCATCCTCGATCTATGACATGTCATGAATTAGACGCGACATCGACCACACAGAAAGATGCTTTCGTATAATGTATGAATGTCTCAGCCCCTCCCACTCCTCCTGTGCATCCCACCATAAACTCGTTGTGCCAAGTAGCACACCCTAAACTCATTGTTTGGATTTGAATCGAACGTCGCTCAACCTGGACAAGTTAACACTCGATGTAAGCTCTGCCCAACGCGTAAATGGCTGCGGTGACACGGCGACTCAGCAAGCCTTAGCTTTCAACTGCACCGGGACACATCCCCTCATTCCCCAGTCAAACTACTCATCATAATCGATACCTCCAACGTCCATCGGTCTCTACCTTCCACCTTTGACCGCATTACACATCCCGCTCATCCAGCGCAAGTCCTTGTCACTTCATCACTCGACCTACATTCCTTCTCTTACTCTCCGTCCTTACAATCCCTCTTCAGACAGAGCTCTTGATTGACTCCCGAGTGATCATGCCCTCCCCCCCAGTTTTGATGTACAGGGAAGGCTAGATCTGCTCCCGACGATCAAGTTATTCATTTTCATTAAAGACAAGAAACTCGTGTGACGGAGCTCAACTCCAATCTACTCCCTCCAGGTTCCAGCATCTTCTCTCCTTGCCCATTCCGATACTTTAATCTGTTCCTTCCATGTCCGTAGTCACTGGTGGCCAGCGAAACACGTATCCGGTTTGCGGTCAGTACCGTACAAGGGGTTTGCTCGAATGGGAGAGACGCTGGATTAGCAGAACGCAAAGGATGAGAGCGTTTCTTCCTTCGATGAAGCGTGCGTAAATTTCCTGGTGTAGATGTTCGTGAAGCGGGGAGATAGAATTATAGCTGAAGGTGAAAATGCAACCTGAAGATGGCGGTGGGTGATATACTTTGCTATGCGGGTGTAACGTAAAATTTTCATATGTAGTGAGAAGTCTTCAACGAGAATTGATCCTGTGCAGTAACAACGGAGAAGACAAAAGATCCATTATGCCGGATCCCAATCTACCATTCTGGTACGCCTAAGAAAGTGATGCGTCCCTGCGTCGAGTGAATGTATTCTGGTGACTGCAAGTTCCGGTTTCACTGATGGTTCGAGTGATTTGTTCGAGTACATCAAAGCTCGTCAGTGAACCCACGGCACTTTTGCGGTTCACTTCATACAAGCTTCACTCGACTCGGAACAATCGAACGTGTTCAGATCATGCCCAACACGAGACTCTGAGAAAACAAATTCCATGGAGATCGATTTATTATCGAACTGATAAGGATCGCCCATATCCGCTGGCGGTAATATGAGTCCTTTGTATTTCTTTAGGCAGAGTGCCTAGTCACCGATCAACTTCAAAGCACAGGAATCGGCCGATCGGATCGATCACTGATCCCTTCTTTTTCCATCGCGTCGACTTGAAGATATTTTCGAGTAGGACTGACCGTCCTCTCCTTTCAGTTCCGTCTCTATCCTGTAATGAGTCTTAGGTGACTTGTTTTGTGATGCCTGAGCTTCAGCAATCGTGCACCCCGAAGTCGCTAAGCTGCTGCAGCCTGCAGCCACCGAGCTGTGGTCATCGTTGGACCCACCACAGCTACATGCAGTATCACTGTCTTTGTTTCGTTATTTGAACTTACGCCTTGTCAGCAGGCCTTGACTATATTGTGCTGCGCGTTAATCACACCACGTAGGGACGGATTCTCGTGTATACATTTCAGGTGCCTTAATACCCAGCACGCGGCGATTTTTTGACCTCTTCTTCATACACCGGTCCAAATCGTGGGCCAGAAATGCCTTCTAAACATCAACCCGTTGCTCCGCCCATATGATCTATCGAGGTCATGATGAGCTTTGACGCCGGTATCATCACGACGAGGCTTCGCACGCTAAGCGAATGAATTGAATGCCGTCATGACCCTTGCTATCCCACGTCTTACGGCCCTTCTCACCGTCGTGGACCTACGGCCTGATCCCTCTGCTCCAGCGACCCCATTGTTCTTTTCTCGGATCCGCCGACTTGCGCTTTGAACACTTCCCCTTACCGGTATAGAGACTATTGTTTTCTTTGAGGCGCTGCAAGTTTCTGGACTCCGTTGCATCGAAATGGTTCTCCCACAGGTAAGGAACTGTTTGCTTTGACGACAGCTGATCACACGATTCGCATCAGGTTTTTGTGAAGAACAACAGCCTCCTCAGAGTATACGTGGATACGAACATTTCACGAGTGTTTTCTCTATGTACTTTAAAAAGCTTGTGGGAATTGCTGCAACGAGGCATAACACGCAGGCGAAACACCCATCCTTACATCCCGCTCAATGTCGCCCATTACCTCCTCGACCAGTACAAAACATCGTTCCGCGTTGAGCGGCGATGACGGTAATGTTGTTTAAAAGTGCTCTTCTCTCAAGGACGACTCATCCGCTATTCTAGCCCTGAAAGATCTCTTCGCTCATCGACCGACCTTTACGAAGCGCCCCGGCTTCAGAGGTAGCCGAGATACTCGTGGGCCTGCACACTATGACATGCATCTTCATCCACAACTCATCCTCAAAGACATTGTCTACTTCCGTGATATGCTCGATCAACTATCTAAAGTCGTTGACACCAAAATCCAGGATTTCACTTCCAATTCGCCGACCAAAAGTCTGCCCCGCGTTTCTGCAGCCAGCGTTTTACATAAAGCCAACGTATCTACAGAGGTCCAAACTTCCGGGACTTGGGTCGTTGGGCATGAGGCTGATCTACAGAAAGCCTATCCGCGTTTGGAGCAATACCCTACTTTGGTCGCTTCTACCCTTGTTGCCGGCCTTGATGACTGGTCTTCTATCTTCCGATATGACGAAAAGCCCAGAGTAGCTTCCACTTGTGCTTTAGCAGACGGCTATCTATCTTTGGACAAAGCCGCCATCAAAACCACTGATCTTCCCGTCAAAGACAAACTCCAGCTTGTCATTGAACAGGATCTATCAGATTTTCTGTTCTGGGAGTACAAGAGTATGAACGCCGGAAGCATGGGTGTTATGCTTGCCATCCACCATCTGACCGGATCACAGTTCTCTTGGGTTTCTTGCCCCAGGTCTAAATCTTGTGATAACCAATTTTGCCACAAGAAGGACAATCGGTTCAAGTTCACAGTTACTGGGTTCAAGACGGGCGTGGATGGTGTTATCTTGGAGGACAGGCCCAATGGTGGTAACGGAGGTAAAAAGGATGCTGGCCTTGATTTTGCGTTCGACAAGTCGAGAATCGACTGCTCCCTAATAGCATCTGTCCCTGATACCAGGCGGTGGAAATTCAAGGGATCCGAATCGCCCAAGAAGAGGGTCAGGCCAGAATCGGACGTCGGAAATCAACATTTGAACGACGATGACGATGACGGCGACGAGGGGCACGCCGGAGATGACGATGTCGACAATAATGATAGTAGCGATTCTCCTGTCGCCGTTGAAGATACCCTACTTTTCACCCAAGGGGAATATTCGACAGCCTTAAAAGTGATTCAACAGGTATTGATCCTTTCCTTTCGCCTTATTCTTTAAGTCTGATGGCGTGTGTAACCTTAGATATGGGCCGAAGCGGTCAACATTGATGCTACATTCATGGTTCTGAATTGCGGAAGCCTGGAGTATATTGGCATACGAGACCGCAAATTGCAACGTCTTTATCTCTCTCCTCTTCTGGACCTAGGAAATCCTGCTCCAGACTCGCCAGGATATTTCAAAATCCATACCGGTCTCAATATAGTCGCGATCTCTGACGCCATCAAACGGGCAGAGAAACTGAAAGCACTGAAAGCAATACGGCGGCTCCCGAAGCTTTACACTTTCAAGTATGATCGCAGCGAGATATACGAAGACAAGGCGCCAAAAAAGACAAAACGAAGTAGACCATCGATATCTACGAAAACCCCAAGAGCAGCAGTAAAGGCAACGACATTTGCAGACAGAGACAAGGAGAGCGGCAAGGATTTGAATATCTGGGAGTTGGATTTCAGTCCTGCAGTACGTACCATTTCAGTCCATGCAAATGACCAGACGATTGACGGGAGTACACTTATTTTCCAGGAAATCCAGCTCTTCAGACGCCTGAGGGGGGCACAATCCTTGAAGATCACATGGAGGCAAGACATCTCCGGTCTAGGCTCAGCGAGCAGTATAAGGATGACACGACCGACTTGGCCTGCCTACATCGATACGTGGACCGAGGAAATGGAAGTGCTCGTCATGAGCCAATGCCCCAAGTCTAAACATACTTACTCTTGTTATGTCGACGATGGACAGACAGCTGTACGTGGCATTGTTGTCAAGTTCGCATTGGGCAGGCACGAAAAAGCGGGTCTACGGAACGAATATGACATGTATGCCAGATTTCCCTCGATCGAAGGAATCGTCAAAGATTTGGGAATAGTAGAGCAATTCGGACTCTATCAGCATACGGGTGACCGTAAAATGGCTCTCGTGCTTTTGGACGGTGGTGATCCAGTTACGAAATTTGGGCCAGGTCGCATACCTGCTGGTATTTAGTAAGTAGCTTGACAGTGTCAGCGTCATCATCGAATAACCGTCATTCCTATCAGCTCACAAGTTCAGGAAGCAGTCAAAAAAATGCACTCCGCAATGGTTACGCACGGCGACCTTATTCCAGAAAATATCCTGATCACGAAGGATCCGAAAGAGAAAAGTAGATGGCAGATCCACCTGATCAACTGGAAAAATGGAAGGGACCATCGAACATCCACAGCAGTGCAGAGAGCTTACAACGCTTACGTATTGAGCACCCTCACAAGATGCTCACAAAGACTGAAAAGATGCATGGAACCCGTCCGGATACCGCACAAGGTCACCGATGTGTCTTCGAAGGAGAGGGCGGCAAGGAAAAGAAGGCCGAGGAGGTCTATGTTTGGAGTCGTTCCAAAGGCCAAGATTACGTCGGTTGTAAAGGAAAATCTCCGGAGACGCAGGAAAGCAGTTACAATGGATTTGAAGAGGCTACAGGATCCCGTATGGCATAAGTAAGACTAGAGAATGCCAGGTCATTGTTCGAATTTCCGATGGGATATACGCCCGGAGAGGTTTGGTAACAATAACGACATTTGAGGGGAACCTAATTCTCGAGAGACCTGCAGTAAAAACTCAAGGAAACTACGGAGGCATGTGATGTATCCTAGTAGTAAACGAATAGTATGATCTATAAGAGGAAGGTGGAGGCCGAAAAAAACGTTGAACTGTCGACGTTGTACGACTCGTATATATACATTAAAGCTGTGAGCAGCTTGCGAGAGGGTGAAGGAAAGGGACCTCTACATAGCTGAGATGTGTATATGAAAAAGCCAACCCGGACAAAAGAAAGAGTGATGCGCGTCGTGATGAGCATCAACCCCGGTGAAGACCGAAACGACTCCCTGCCTGTTTACAATCATGATGATGCGGGATAGCTAGTTACAGAGTTGTCGTCTATATTTTCTCCATCTAGTAGGTTGCCAATGCGCTCCAGCTCCGCTGCCATTTGACGTCTTGAACCATGTATTTTCGCCCTGTCGAAATCAGCTATGAAGAGTCCTCCCTTATCATCTTCAAGAAGGTTCCAGGATCTGATGTCACCATGAGCAACGCCTGCTGCATGTATGGATTTTAATATTTGTATGAATGTGGCCCTGATGATTTGTTGAGAATAGAATGACAATGAAATTGAAGTCTCACACCTTTCTTCATCAGAGACTTCGATACCTGTACCCGGGGGAGTGGAGCGGTACGCTAGTGCCACACCGGCATGACTCAAGATGAGCACCCCTGCTTCGGATTCGACGTCTTCAAAAAATCCAAAAGCACGAGGAATATTCTTCACTTGGTTCGGCCCAGTCGAGAGATAGCGGTATATACTGTATTCGTGCCGGAGTCTCTCTGTCTGCTCCTCATGGAAGGCAAGCTTGACTATCACCTTGTGAGGATGACGAGCTACGTTGCCGGCGCTGAGATCCACTTCGAGAGACGCCTCATAAGCTTCTCCAACTGCCCCCTCACCTATCTTCTTCAGAAGCACCAGTGCCAAACACTCATCGTACCGAAAAGATCTCTTCCGACTGGAGCTTCCTGCTCGTCTGAAAAATGACGGCAGTGGAGAATTAAATCTCCCATCCTCAAGATATAGAAGGGCTACATTGCGGGTGCTCAGTTCGGAAAGGATCACCTGGCACGTCCTATATTACTAAAGTATCTGCAACATAGGAAAGAAAAACTCACATCTGGCTCGACTTCTTCGCTCGATTCTCCAAGCTTCCGACGAGACCGTCGGACGGGCGTCACTTCATCTCTGTCGCGTCGACGTTTACGCGAAGTCATTCGAGTCGAATGCTTGTCCGTCTTAGTGAGCGATTTATCGAGCAAGGGCGCACGATCCATAGCATCGCGTATGATCGCCAGATATATTCCCACCAAGAGCTTGCCATATGCAGGATCTGTATGACTGCAAACATCCACCAGATCGGATAAATACAAGGTCTGGGTTTTGCGATGTCGAATTCCTACTCTTAGATAATTTCCGCAATCAAATATGATTACGGTCGAGTCACAGTCAACAGCGTGAGCCCAAGCCTGTAATATAGTAAATTAGAAACTGAGGACGACTACACCAGGCATGAATATACTTACACGTTGTATAAAATCAGCGGCATTTGCCGTATACCTATGGCTCGCAGTTTTTTTGGGCGCTATTATAGACTGCGTGGTGGCGGCCGCTTTATGAGAAGGCTTCGAGATAGGGCGACGCTCAGGTTTCTTGTGCGAAGTTGAGGTATCTACAGCCGACTTTTTCAGTCGCTCGCTACGACGGAGGCGAGACGGTGCCTCCATCTGCATACTGTGATCAGATGGCTCCGTTTCCCAAAGATACTTCGACGCGTCCGAGTCTGGAGGTGGGACTTGGTGAGAAACTTGTCGATACCGTGATCCTCCCCCTTTCTTCCAGGGAAAAACATCATAAGTCGACAATCCTGACATTTCCTCTAGGACTATCTTTCCGGAGAGAGCGTACGCCTCGTATATTGCCAAGCGAGGGAAGCTTTTCAGTACGGATAGAAGAAGGGCCTTTCGATCATCGTCCAAACTCCCTAACAAGGCAGACATCAATGTCCCTGTTTCAATAGTATGTTGTAGAGTGTATTGTTCTGAATGGAAATCCGGTGGTTCATCTGCCGGTCTTCCTGACATTACAAAGACACTCTTTAGTTCGGATTGATGAGGGTGGAGGGCAAGCACAGATGCAGCTTGAATGAAGGGGTGCCCTCCTTCGCAGAAGCGTCTAGAAATATCAGACGCGGTGGCAACGACAGTGTTATTGTAAGGAACGTGTCTGACGAGTATGTAGGGAGAATAGAATGGTTTGCCTCGGGACTTGAACGACGAAACATGCTCGTCAAGAGCTTCAGAAAGGGTGGAGACAAGACGAGGAAGGACTTTGACTCGTTTGAGAATGAGGGAATCGTCCAAGTGTTTGTCGAAGAACGTGACGGGCGACCAGTCTGATGCAGGAACGTCTGAGTCTGGGTCCTGCCGGAGAGGTGGAGGCACAAAGCTAAGGAGCTCTTCCAAAGCCTCTATGTCATCAAGGGATTCGCTTCGAGACTCAAGTGAGTCTGACATAGGTCACAGCTAGGACGAACCCCAAGTTGAATGTGGAATGGAAAAAAGATTGATTGCAGCAAATCCAACATTCTTGTGAGAACTTTGATCGATATTCGGCCCGATAAGCCGTCCAAGAATTACGTTACGAAAATTGGGACCTGGCGCACCCTCACATCGAGCTCGCTTGCCTGACGGAGCTTGCACCACTACACGCGCGCTACTTCAGTCTTTTCCTGTAGCAGCGATGACTAACGTCGACGGCGACATTCTCAATGTCTGTGTATTCTGCCCCTGGACGTGATGGAAGGGAATTTAGCATCATATATCGCAGTTTCGACGTGTTGGAGATTCTACCGTTGTCATCAGCCTAAATTAGTGAAATATCGAGGCACTCACGTCCGCCTCGAATACCGTCATTACAAGCATACTCCCATCTCGAACCCCGACCGCCGCAACTTCTCGGACGCCGACGCAAGCGTCATTCGTCTGGAAGCGCGCGCGGAGGTGTCAACGCAATCCTGTCTGAGCCATTCGACTGCCGACTTCACTTTCTCTTGGTGTTTCTCGTGTTCGGCGATGTCGGTTGGGTTGTTAAGTGGTTGTTGGGAACCTGGTTTGAGGAAGGACGTTGACTGGGCTCTCCTGGCGTAGGTTTGTTGTTGGGCGAAGGGTACTTGCGTTATGAGAGGCCGTATTGAGGGTTTGGCTGCCTTTATGACGAGGTGTCGAGACAAGAAAGAACGGCAGAGGGATCGCATTTCGGACGCTGCCAAGGATTCGCCGGCTACTCGGTCCAATAGCCGAAGCCTTCTCACAAACTATGCTCGCTTGGTAGTTTACGAGGCGTACGCGCTGTCTGGAAAGACTGTCTTAGAGGAGATGTCAAGATTGTCGACTTTTGATGATATGTTCCATTGGAAGAGAGGGGGAAGATCACGCTTTCGGCAGGTTTCTCACCAAGTCCTACCTCCAGACTCGGACGCGTCGAAGTATCTGTGGGAAACGGAGCCATCTGATAACGCTGCTCGGATGCAGGCCACCTCCAAGCTTCGTCGCAGCAAGTGACTGAAAAAGTTGGCTCGGGACGCCTCAGTTTCTTACAAGAAACCTGGGTGTCGCACCATCTCGGAAAGTGGACGCCATCACACAGTCTATAATAACTCCCAAGAAAACTGCGAGCAATAGATATACGGCGGACGCAGCCGATTTCGTACAACGCGTGAGTATATTTATGTCTGGTGTAGTCGTTCTCAGTGTTTACTCCAGGCTTGAGCGCGCGCGGTCCTCGACTTTTGATGACGTCGAATCGGAGTCAGGGGTGCCCGTCTTGAGTCATGCTGGTGTGGCTCTGGTACTCCTCCGGGTGCAGGTGTCGAAGTCTCTGATGAGGAAAGAAAGGTGCGGGACTTTAATTTTCTTCCATTGCCATTCTATTCTTAACAGATCACCGGTATTCATGCAGTGGGGGTTGCGCATGATGATAGCAGGTCCTGGAACCTTCTTGAGGATAGTAAGAGGGGGGGGGGCTGTTCGCAGCTGATTTTGATAGGGCGAAGATACCATGGGTCGGGGAATCAGATGGCGGCGGTGCTGGAGCCGCATGGGCAGCTTGCTAGATGGTGAGAATATAGAGAATATAGACTACAATTCTGTAACTAGCTATCCCGTGCCATCATAACAAGCAGGGAGTCGTTTAGGTCTTTACCGGGATTGACGCTACTCATCACGACGGGTGTCACTCTTTTTCCTTTGTTCGGATTCGCTTTTTCATACACGTAATTTTTGATCCTGTGGGCGGTTCCTTTTCTTTACCCTCTCACAAGTTGCTCACAGCTTTACTGTACAACGTCGACAGTGAAATTTTTTTTCGCCTTCCCACCTCCCTCTTGTAGATTGATACCATTCATTTACTATTACAATACATCCGTAGTTACCTTGGGTTATCTCTACAGGAGTTCTCAAGAATTTGGTTCCCCTCACTGTCATTATTGCTCCCAAACCACTCTGGCCGCATAATACGAACAATGATCTGATATTCTCTAGTCTAACTTGTGCCATACGGAATCCTGAAGCCTCTTCAAATCTTTTTTAACTGCCTTCTTATGTTGCCGGAGATTTTCCTTTACAACCGACGTAATCTTGGCCTTTGGAACGACCCGCCTCATATGTCAGGGAAACTACGTACACTTCATCGAAAGAAGAAGTGCTCTCGTTCCTTCCGTTTTAGTAATCCAGCGGGTATCGATTCTGACGTGTGGAACGGAAAGGACAGAGACGTGCGCCGGTGCAATTGTGAGGAGTGGACATCTTGCATGCCGGTTCAAATCCACAACGAGTTTAGGCGCATACGAGTTTATGGTGGGATGAACAGGAGGAGTGGGAAGTGCTGAGACGTCATACAACATACCGCCGTCGTAAGCACCTTTCTGCGTGGTCGATATCGCATCTAATTCATGACAATGCGGTCGTGGATCGAGGATGGACGAGCTAGTACACGATCAAGACTTTGCCCTCGGACGAAAAGGAAAACGAATTTGCTGTGTGGGACCCTGCATGACATTCTTAGTCGAGCGACAAGTAAAAGGCACCTTGGACGGATTTTGTGGATAGCAGCAGTGAGAGCGAGGACGAAAGTATGGCTCCGCGCAAAGGGAGTGACGGACGAGGGAGTTAACGTGTACAGGTTTAGGGTGCGGACGGCGGATTGGTTGATAATGGAGCGCTACTACAGCTAACATACGCGCCGTCCGTGCCTCAGCTTCCCATCTCAGATCTCAGAGGTGAACTCTCGGTGCGTCGTACGAGCCCATCGTGACTGACATGGGGAGCTCAGCGTAGTCGCTCTCCTGCACACCAAAACATTCCACACCTGCCTGCCTGAGGATGCGATCGTATTCGAATGGCTGAGGGCGTTTTGTCCTGGGTCGTCTGTAGGTGCTGTTCATAAGCGTCATGTGCAATTTGAGGGGACGCGTGTCGGTGATGAAGCCTTCTTCGCGGAAGATCTGGTTGATTCGGCTGAAGAGGTTCAGGCTGAGATGGGCCCACCCATAAAATGTGGGCACGACGACGGGATTCCCTTCTGAGGACGTCGAGTGTGTCGAGGGTGACGGTCGGGGCTACGTCTGTGAGTGGGAGGAGAAATGGGAGGTTGCGAAGGAGTTCTAGTGCAGTTGGGAGGGTTTCTGAAGTGAGGTTCATGACGCCGAGGGCCTGCGACAGCGTGGAGTCTGGCGTAGGAAGGTTGAGGGCGGTATGGAGATCGGCAACTCGGACGCGGAGAGTAGGGTGTGCTTGTCCGAGGGGTATCGACAGAACTGTAAAGGGTGAGTTGGGATTAACGCGTAGACGGATACACTCACAGTGCGCTCTTTAAATTGAAGAGTCTGCGTGGGTTTACAGCCCGAGTCAAGACAACCGACGGGAACGCACGGACACCAGCCGCACTAACCAGGGTGGTCAAGTTGGCTCAAGTTGTCCATGTCAAGCTTCAAGCTGCAACAAGTACTTAGGCCGCGGCAAGGGGAACTGAGCGCGCGTTTCCAATGCTGACTAAGCCAAACCCTTCCCTTTCGCCTCCCACCGTGCTCTCCACCGGCTTGTCCTACTAGCAGTTTTTCTTGACGTATTTCGTGTGGACAACTGGATTTTGACAGGCTACATCTGTTATGGTCCTTGGTGCCGTCAGCGATCACTGAGATCTTGCTTTCTACCCATCTACTCATACGAAGGTCCCCTAATCTCAGAGCATCTGGATATCTGAGATCTGCTATCAACCACGAATACGATCGAAATGCTGTTAGATTACTCTGGTACATATGAGCTTTTTAGTTTGGTTGACGTGAACTGATATCATGTATCTGAATTTCAGATCTTCACTCAGCACCAGTGAGTCTGCTCGTTCTTGATGTTAGAACATGTTCCCATGAGCATGGAATGGTTATACTTTCTCCCCCCCCCCCCTCCCCCAAAGCAATGGTGATTCAAACTGGCATCATTGAGATGTGGAAAAGGTCGAACTCTCGGACCTCAGATGAACGTAAGTACTTTCCCTCAGTCTAGGCAATGGAACATATTTATCCTTTGACATGGCTCGATAGCCAGACTACAATGGCAGATACCCTGTCATCTTAGTACACGCATATCACCTCTTTCCAACGCATACAACACCGTCCGTGGCCAAACGAAAGATAATACACGATCGTCTCGAATGATCAGTCAATTGAGCTCTTCAAGGCCTTCATTTTATCTAAAACGATGTAGTCATATGCACTCTGGGATGAGTTCGAGGTGACCCTGAGGGCACTCAGTGGCACCGTCTTTGTGAGTCTTCTAGCCCACCATAATATTTGTGCCAACATGTCCAGAAATAGCATGGCTTGATCGAGCGAACCAAGTCCCAGTCAGACCGCCTTTTCAGTGACTACCTACCTACCTACCCGATCTCGCAGAGTGTTGAATTCCTTCGACAATGCACTACGGTCGACTTTATGCGCTTTTTTCTCTCCCCTTCTCTGGGCCTTAGCTTTACCGATACCGGCTGTGACACCCAGGCCTTGTGAAGTTGGATCAATACGCCAGTGCGTAGTCGCCTTTTTGCCTTTCTTTTTGGATGTTTTTGATAACTCGCCCAACAGAATGGCGTTCGAAAACACGATTTGGGATGGTCGTCTTATCATGGAAAAACCAACTCCGTCAGTACTAAGGCCATGCCTGCTCTTTTCCCTAATGAATCAGGCTCTACCCATTATAGGCCTCCACAACTGTCTACCCACCATCAAAGCTCCGACCATTTCCTTACCCACAAGTACGCTCAGTTCCTCAAAAAAAAAACGCCTAGTAATCGTCGTTGGAACATTGGTATTGGGGGCAAATTGTCTACGCATCTTGGTATTATGAGCTTCTTACTCTCGATAACTTTAAGCCGTTGTTGGGAATCAGCTTGTTATTTTCATCGGTGGGGTGTGCAAATCGGGGCTGTAGGATGTGTAAAACGGTGTTGGAACGGGGGCTGCAGATGGGTCGCACGATGCTGGATATCACATTGGGCATTTCTCTTGCCGTTGTTCCTCTTCAACTCTGAATTTTGGAGCGTAGAGCAAGTCATCCATCACTCATGGTCTTCAGCTCAAGCTTCTAGCGTACCAAACGGCTCTGGTTCTAAAAATCTGGGTACCTTGATCCTCTCGCCTTGTCTGGATCTCGGTGTTCCTACTGTTTTCTCCGGATGGTCAAGGTTTGTGAGTCAATGGTATTTGCATCAACCGGCATAATTTGAGGATTTTGTACGAACTAACAAAGACATCGAGGAGGAGTAAGTGCATGTCCTCCGTACCGTGAAATCCACACTCTTGATGATAAAGGACAGGATTATTTCTTCGACGTCAAGCCATTCTACTACCGCCGCCCGGTTTGTCTTGGCCTATGCAGTGTATGTTTCAATGGAATTGTACCTTCATTGGCTATCCCAATGTCTCCGAATGCGCTATCAACCCCAACTCACCTGCGACTGCTGGTTAGTACTGGTTCTTTGTCGACTTTAGGTAACATGGCTTGATGATTTGTACAAGTTCACGAATAAGAAGGATCTCTATTCTGTTCTGTTGACATGGGTCATCGCTGCCATATTCGTTGCATCTGTCGTCATAAGTGCAATCCACTATCCTCGATTATGTCTCTTAGGGTCAGCGACTGTCGCTCATGGCATCCTTAACATTTTTTACGGATATCACGGTGGCCGCAATGCTATGTCATACAGCGAAACAGCGCTTCATCTAACAGTTTTCAAAAGGTGCCGTAGTTGGTTGCGGAGTGTATTTATTCGCGGTATGAGCAGATTCAGGTGTCTTACCTACCTCGATGTACTAGACCGGGAGCAAGCATGGTAGGTGGTTATAACATGGAATCGGTTGCAGGTATATGTGGGCCGTCAATGGTTACAGATCGGGTGGCTAATTCCCGGATACGGCAAAGTTGACAGTGATGATGCAGAATGTTCGCAAAGGTGGTCCCCGGTGGACACCCGGACCTCAGCGGGGTAAACAGGACATGTCATTCTTCTTTATTAGTTCATTCACTTTTCTATTTTATATCTCTAAAAAACCACACGTACAGAACAAAGTGACAGAGCTAAGGAAAGCAGGTTTGTTACCGTCGTCGGCAAACTTTGGTAATTCCACGGCTGTCTTTCTACGTCTACAGTACCAATCCGGAAGATGAACTGACGCGAAGAAACACGGTACGGCAACAGCAATCTTGAAGGAATCTTCGGACATGGGCGAATACCTATCCACCTAATCGCAGCATTGCATCGACCTTGCGTCTCATAGAAATGGATATTAGAGATGGATATTCACTGCTTCTGTGGCACAGGGCTTCGGCCCGGGCTTAAGGATTTCGACAAGCAAAGCCTCAGCCCGAGCCTCGGGCTTCAAAGCCCGGCCTTTCACAACACTAAATCTTGTCGCAACATTCAAGTGCAAGAATAAGAAGATACAGAGGAAGTCATTCACGAAGCCCGGTCAACAGTTCAGCCTCCCTCTTATCGAAATGTATACAGCCCCCAAACTACGAGATAAAATGGCAACGAATCTGTACAGTCATTGGCAACTGTCCCACAGTAGAGACGTGGTCCCAGGAGGGTTCATGATGATCAAGAGGCTTGATCCTCCTGTCCAGGGTTACGCGACGCCTGAGGGTCGACTTGAAAGTAGAGCTGCGCAGGAGTATTAGGTGGGAACGTAGTCAGGAATGGGACATTTGCAAGGTCTCTGGATGAGCCGAAAGTTTGGACAAGAACGATAAACCAAACATATTGCGAAGAATCTACAGTGGTTGTAATTACACATCTCAGTCTACAGATTTCGTACACGTGAGGTGAAAATCGCCTCACCAAGTTCCAGGTGGTTGCGAATATAAGGATGATGATCTGCGAACTGTCTGTCGGTGCTCGGACAACCAGTCACCAAATTGGTCTCCTACAAGTTCCCGGCAAATGGCACGGCCAAGACCAAGACTGAGGTGACATGGTAGGTTATATGTCAGAGGAATAGTGTATACTCTGCTTCTGTGAGTGACGGATAGATATTTATAAGAAAGGAACACAAACGATCTTCCCTTCGTCCAATGTGAAGGATATCTGACTTTTTTGTATTCATAATCCCATGCCAGTGAGGGGGAATATTTGGGGTTTGTGGTGACTTTTATCTGACCGTCCTTGAGGAGAGAAGGGATCCGATTGATTCGTGGTTACGCCGGATCGATGGCATTGAACAATACGATAAACTTCTTAGAGAATGGATGAATATATCCCACAGAGCCCAGAGGAATGCTCTGTTCAAACATGGGAATATACCGCTTGACGTAGTCAGGATATAAGCCCGGGCCAGCTGGATAATTAGAACTAGAATGCAAAAGATATACGATAACTTATGATCTGGCCCATGAAGCAAAAACGGATGGAGCTCCCGTTCGCCAAACATGACCATCGGGACTGGAATTCTGTCCCTAGGTCACACACGCTGGAGTATCATACGTCGTCAAAACGAAAGAAGACACCCCGGGAATATCAAACTGTATGTATGTTGTCAGTGAAGCTAGACATTTCCATTCGGTGAGAGGGGTCATGAGTGGTTTCAATATCTGCGATGAGGCTCCCAAAATGCAAAGCTGACGGACTCGTCGGGAAAGGCTGGGCTGGTCACACTGACAATGAAGGGGACGTGGTAGAGTGATGAATACCCACCACCGATAGTGGTATACAATCGTCAGCTGGGTGGTCTGTAGAGGAAGCTAGAAGCGGGGGATGTGGACCTGAGGATCGCATCGAGATAGTATACGTAGATATGAATTCCATCTGGGGGCGTAACAGGACCATTAAATAGCCTTCGAAGGACCGATTCTATCCCCCTATTAGCTGTGATTGAGGGGTTGCATTTTGCATACTGAACATCATCTGGCTTGAGCATGCAGTCTACTTTGAACGTTATTGTGCGGCAAAGTAGCGGGTGAGGCACTGATGACATTGATGGGATGGTATACAGATAACCTCCGCTATAGAATAAGGGGGTGACCAAGTGGGTGGAATTAATCTCCTTGATGATGGCGGACCATTGTTTGGATACAAGGGAGCAGGCTGAGAAAGTTTGAATGTATTCATTAGTGGATGATTGGGTGGACCAGAGTTCAAAGAGAGTATGGGAGATGAGCTCAGATGGAAGCGCCATCGCAATTCAGGATGAGGTGGTGACGACAGGTACAAGTTCGGGCCGAAATAGTTTTACGGCCTGTGCATCCGCTTGTCTGACTGTGACTTGGATTAGGATAACACGTTTCCAAGTGCTTCGCCCTTGCAGGAAGCATCCATCACAACGTTGTTGAAGCGGATAGAAGAATGATAGATCATAATGTGTATATGGAATAAATACTGAGAATACTGAGTGTACTATTAAAAAGGTGCCTTATCGCTTGTTGTCAATACCTTATAGCTCGTCATGGAGAAGCCAAAAGGCCCACCATCTAATAGACTTTCTAGCCACTCATGCTTAGCTTTCATTTGTAACTTGTGGCCTCTGAATTTTTCCCTATCGAAGTCAATTATAGAAAGATGTCCTTTGTCGTCCGTGACCATGTTCCACGTTCGGATGTTCCCATGAGCGACACCAGCTCCATGGATTCTCTGGTATTCAGAGTATTCCACGGCACAGCCCACTGGGGACGCCATAGTGTCGCCCTGTGGTGCATGCATTAGTCTTGATCATGTATTGAAATCATATCATTTAGATGCACCCTTCTTCGTAATTCCGGACGCGGGAGGGTCCGAACGATGTGCCAATGCTTGCCCATTACAGCTTAAAAAAAAGAGCTCCTGTATCGGACTCAATGTCCTCAAAAAAGCCAAAAACCGTAGGAATATCTCCTGCCGCAACGGGTACAGGACCATATAACAGACGAATACTCATGACGTATCCTTTCTTCTGTTCTCCAGAGAGCTCGAATTTGATGATGGCCTTTTTTGGATAGCGCGCTGCACTTCCAGAGGGCATGTCCACCTCGACTTGAACCTCGTATGCCTGTCTGATAGATCCCTGGCCTAATTTCTTCCCAACAAGAAGAGCGATACAGTCATCGTAGCCTGTCGACCAAGGCTGTTTGGTCGTCTGAAGAATGAAGGCGAACGAGAATGATAATTCTCCGTCGTATGCAAGTACCTGTTCTGCATGACATTCCTAGTCGAGTGGCAAGTAAAAGGCATCTTGGGCAGGTTCTAGTTGTGCTGGATAGGCTTGCTCCAGGAGCAAAAGTATGGCTCTGCGCAAAGAGAGTGACGGATGGGAGGAGCTAACATGTGCAACTTTAGAGTGTGATGGCGGATGGGTTGATAATGGCGCGTAACATACGCGTCGTCCGTATCCCAGCTTCCCATGTGAATTCCCGGTACGTCGTATGAACCCATCGGGAGCTCACTCTCCTGCACGCTGAAACATTCCAACACACCATCCCTACCGCAGAGTCGAACCATAGAGGTCGTTTTGTCCTGGGCCGTCTGTATGAGCGTCAAGTACAGTTTGAGGGGATGCGTGTCCATGACGAAGCCTCCCTCGGGGGAAGATCTATTTGATCTGGCTGAACAAAGCCTCGGAGCGAGATGGACTGACCCATAAAATGTGGGCACGATGGCGGGATTGCCTTCTGAGGACGTCGAGGGTGGCAGTTGGGGGAGTGGGAGGAGAGTCGGGAGGTGGTGCAGGAAGTCAAGTGCAGTCAGGAGAGTCATGATACTGAGGTTGAGGTGGGCGCGTTGAGGACCTGTGAGCGGTGTAGGAAGGTTGAGATCGGCAACTCGGGCGCGGAGAGTCGGATGTGTTTAGCCGAGAGGTGTCGACATAACTGCATACAATGAGCTGGGATTAACGGGTAGATGCATACACTCATAGTGTGCAGGTCATGCCATTGTGGTCGTGAAAAAGGCCTCGGGTTATCGGCCCGAATAGCCGGCATCCTCGACTCTCCTGCGTGAGTAGCTGAATCCTCCATCTAACAGCACGAATACCCATCTTCCAACATTGAAGCCGAAGGACCTAACTGACGCCTTCCCTAAAATCAGGCTCCCCACAACGACGCAAAAAAAGTTGGGAGAAAACCAAGTAGATGTCTAACCATGCTGGCACTTCTGGCTAAGAGTCAGAAACAGGAAGAGGTAGCTACAGTCGGGGTTCAAAATGATATGGGGAGAGTGATATTTGAGGAGGACCCTCGATTTGTAGAATCATGTTGAAGCTGTGTCAGGAAGAGATGAGTTTTCCGTTCGAGGACATTGACAAGTCCTGCCTCATTCTACATGAATTGGCCCGAGTATGACGGTAGCCCACCCACGCTCTCAAAGCCCATGTATACTCCTCAACCTTGATGCGGTTTGCTGATATAAATCCTGCATCCCATTTCTTCGCTGACGTGGAAGCACAAATCTGAGGAGTTCTCTATGCCATCAGGGGGATGAGCCAGGGAGTAGGAACTTGGGGGACCCTGGCTGTCATGTCGGAAGGTTGGGTGAGCGAACGCAGTTATGGTTGGAGTGATTGGGGAGTAGGCTCAGTGTGGGTAGCGCCGTCGTGTGTCACTGCGCTAGGCAGATTCGAAATGGCAAGGGGCAAGTATTGTATGATCGATCGTGAGCTCCTCATTCCACAGCGCTAGAGCCCACTGTTCATGCAGGTTAGTGGTCTGAGGGAGGACCTAAGTTCGAGGACTCCTTGTCCCTACCGCCCTCTATCGGCGGGGTTCCACACATCGTCCTTGCATTGATCTTTTCTTGTCGTGTGGGCAAGATAGATAAGCGTGATGGTCGAGGGGATGCATATTGGCGTTAAGGAATAACTGGTTGATTTGGCTGAACGGAGATGTAAGATGTTAGAAGATAACTATTAAGGCAGGATGTCGGATAGTCGTGGAAGGGTATTGATTCTGACACGGACATGTGGAAGAGAAAGAGGATCATAGAGATGTGCCAAGGAGATGTTGGATCGAGTGCGCATTTGCACAACGAATTTAGGCGTGGCATACAAGGTTATGGCGGAGTGAACAGGAGCATAAGCACCTTTCTGTATGGCGTCTAATGTCATGTATCGAGGATGGGTGAGCTAGTATGGGGCCAAGACTTTGCCCTCAGACGGAAAAAGGAACCCGGATTCGCTGTGTGGTGTCCTAAATGACATCCAGCGAAAGTATGGCTCTGCACAAAGGGAGTGACGGATGGGAGGAGGTAGTATGTGCAGCTTTAGGGTGTGGACGGCGGATGGGTTGATAATGGCGCGCTCCCACAGCTAACGTAGCCGCCGTCCGTTTCCTAGCTTCCCATCTCACAGAGGTGAACTCTTGTTGCATCGTATGAGCCCATTGTCATAGCCATCAGGAGCTCAGCGTAGTCTCTCTCCTGCGCACCAAAACATTCCAGAACACCAGCATGCCTGAGGATACCATTGTATTCGAACGGAAAGGGGCGTAAGGTTCGAGGTCTTCTGTAGGTGCTGTTCATGAGCGTCATGTGCAGCTTGAGGGGACGCGTGTCAGTGATGAAACCCTCTTCGCGGAAGATCTCGTTGATCCTATTGAATAGATACACTCACAGTGCATAGGTCTTGCCATCGTGGTTGTGAAAAAGCCTTGGCTATCGGACCGATCACCCGACGAGTCAAACCCTTTCTCCTTGTCCCGACATAACGCCAAGTCGCCAAAGTCTCCCTACCAACGCCGAAGCTATGCCCAGTCAGTGTCTTCCCTCATACCAGGCTCCCAACAACCATTCACCAACCCAAACGACATCGCCGAACACCAAGAGAAAATGAAGTCGGCAGTCGAATGGCTCAGATAGGATTGGGCTGACGCCTCCACACACACTTGCCTCTACTAATGTGAGTACCCTCTCTCTCAACACCGGAAACAGCCCGGTCAGTGCCTTCCCTCAAATCAGGCTTGTAGACTCTCCTACGTTCACGTCTATCCTTTCTCATCGTACGAGCAGCCAGAACTTCAATCCGCCCTCTGACAGCCAGCCTCCCACAACGAAGAACCCACGTCTCCCCTAAAACCAGGCTTCCAGTGCCCACGTCGATGTCGGAAAAAGTCAAGTCTGTAATCGAATGGCTGAGGCTGATTAATGCTTGTGGAATATCCCCGTCCACGGAAGGGTTCGCCACCGTCGGGGTTTGCGATGATGTTTGATGGCGACGTGAGTACATACTTATCTCGGCTCTCCATTAAATAGGCTGATCAAAGTCCAAAGTAGAATTTTCAAACACGTCGAAGCTATCATTTATGACCCAAACCCTCATACTCATCACCCCGTCTTACTCTCAATGTCAGGGAGAAAAATGAATGTCGGCAGGGTAGGAGATTGGTCTTCGATGCGCCTGTGAATGGCAGAGAGAGCGCTGTGAAGGAGGGCAACCACTGAGGTTGTGGTGTTGCGCACTCTCCTTGACACACCCAAATATTGAGACGAGTCGGTGTGCTGGAGACCTCTCTTGTGAAGAAAGGTATGTATACTAATTGTACTTGCCTTTACTCATTTCGGGTGATATCAGGTTTTGGATAGAGATGACAAAGGACTCGGAGGATCCTGCCTGTGACAGAGTCAACCCACGAGGAGTTCCGCAAAGGTATTTGCTGATGAGTGCAATTTCCGGACAATGCTTCATGTTTATCCTCGCGTCCTCGATTTCACTTTCTGCCTTTTTGGAATAGCGGCTCCGTCTTGAACGTGCGCAGGCCGTGAGGTATTTCTAGTGTAGCCAAAATCACCTTTTTAAATTGAAGAGTCTGCACAGGTTTACAGCCCAAGTCAAGATAACCGACGGGAGCGCATGGATACCAACCGCACTAACCAGGGTGGTCAAGTTGACTCAAGTTGTCCATGCCAAGCTTCAAGCTGCGACAAGTCGGTGATTCAAACTGGCATCGTTGAGATGTGGAAAAGGTCGAACTCTCGGACCTCAGATGAACGTAAGTGCTTTTCTCAGTCTAGGCAATAGAATATATTTATCCTCTGACATGGTTCGATAGCCAGACTACGATGGTAGACACCCTGTCATCTTAGCACACGCATATCATCTCTTTCCAACGCATACAACACCGTCCTTGGCCAAACGAAAGATAATGCACAATCCTCTCGAATGATCAGTCAATTGAGCTTTTCAAGGCCTTCATTTTATCTAAAACGATGTAGTCATGTGCACTTTAGGACGAGTTCAAGGTTGGCACTGTCTTTGTGAGTCTTCTAGCCCACCGTAATATTTGTGCCAACATGTCCAGAAATAGCATGGCTTGATCGAGCGAACCAAGTCCCAGTCGGACCGCCTTTTCAGTGACTACCTACCTATCCGATCTCACAAAGTGTTGAATTCCTACGGTCAATTTCATACGCTTTTTTCTTCCCTTCTCTGGGCTATCTCAGCCTTAGCTTTACCGATACTGGCTGTGACACCCAGGCCTTGTGAAGTTGGATCAATACGACAGTGCGTAGTCGCCTTTTTCCTTTCTTTTTGGATGTTTTTGATAACTCGCCCAACAGAATTGTGTTCGAAAACACGATTTGGGATGGTCGTATCACAGAAGAACAACTCCGTCAGTACTAAGGCCATGCCCGCTCTTTTCCCTAATGAATCAGGCTCTCCCCATGATAGGCCCCCACAACTGTCTACCCACCATCAAATCTCCGACCATTTCCTTCGCCACAAGCATTAACAGCACGCTCAGTTCCTCCAAAAAACGCCTAGTAATCGTCGTTACCATCGTTGGAACACTGGTATTGGGGGCGATTGTCTACGCCTCTTGGTATTATGAGTTTCTTACGCTCGATAACTTTAAGCGTTGTTGGGAATGCCTCTGGTCGGCTTGTATTTTCATCGGTGGGGCGTGCAAATCCTGGTGGACTCGGGGCTGGGACGTATGCAGCAGGATGTGTAAACGGTGTTGGAACGGGGGCTGTCGTGCATGCAGATGGGCATGGAAAGTGCTCACACGATGCTGGAGATGCTGGATATTACTTTGGGCATTTCTCTTGCCATGTCCAGCGTTGTTCCTCTTCCACCCTGAATTGGAGCGTAGAGTAAGTCATCCATTTTCACGTGCACCGCAACACTCATGGTCTTCAGTTCAACCCCTCTGAGCTTCTGGCATACAAAACGGCTCTGGTTCTAAATCTGGGTACCTTGATCCTCCCGCCTTGTGCTATTGCTCTGGATCACACCTGGCAGACTATTGTGTTGTCGGTGCTGAGCAGTTCCTACTATTTTCTCCGGATGGTCAAGGATGCAAAGGTTTGTGAGCCTTAAATGTCAATGGTACTTCATCAACCGGCGTCTTCACAGAAATTTAAGGATTTTGTACGAACTAACAAAGACATCGAGAAGTAAGTGCATGTCCTCCGTACCATGAAATCCACACTCTTGACGATAAAGGACAGGATTATTTCTTCGTAGTATCTCAACGTCAAGCCATTCTACTACCGCCGCCTCGTTGAGTCCCGGTTCGTCTTCGCCTATGCAGTATGTTTCAATGGAATTGTACCTTCATTGGCTATCCCAATGTCTCCGAATGCGCTATCAACCCCAACTCACCCGCGACTGCTGGTTAGTACTGGTTCTCTGTCGACTTTAACATGGCTTGATGATTTGTACAAGTTCACGAATAAGAAGGATCTCTATTCTGTTCTGTTGACATGGGTCATCGCTGTCATATTCGTTGCATCTGTCGTCATAAGTGCAATCCACTATCCTCGATTATTTCTCTTAGGGTCAGCGACTGTCGCTCATGGCATCCTTAACGTTTTTACGGATATCATGGTGAATGCTATGTCATACAGCGAAACACTTCATCTAACAGTTTTCAAAAGGTGCCGCAGTTGGTTGCAGAATCCATTTATTGGGAAGCCCCGCAGTATGAGGCGATTCAGGTGTCTTACCTACCTCGATCAGCCCTCGATGTACCAGACCGGGAGCAAGCATGGTAGGTGTTTATGTTATATATAACATGGCATCTAGGTTAAATTGGTTGCAGGTATATGTGGGCCGCCAATGGTTACAGATCGGGTGGGTGGCAATGGCAAATCCCCGGATACAGCAAAGACATAGCAGTGTTGACAGTGATGATGCAGAATGTTCGCAAAGGTGGTCCCCGGACCTCAGCAGGGTGCGAGTACTTCTTCAGCGGGGTAAACAGGGCATGTCATTCTTATTTATTAGTTCATTCACTTTTCTACTTTATTTACTATTAATATCTCTAAAACCACACGTACAGAACAAAGTGACAGAGCAGCCATGCTAAGGAAAGCATCACAATGTGGTTTGTTACCGTCGTCGGCATTGTACGGCAAACATTGGTAATTCCATGGCTGTCTTTCTACGTCTACCAATCCAGAAGATGAACTGGACAAATGTTGATGCTCAGAAAGCTCCACTTTACACGGTACAGCAACAGCAAGGAATCTCCGGACATGGGCGAATACCTATCCACCTAATCGCAGCATTGCATCGACTTCGAATTCATGCGTCTCATCGTGTACATAGAAATGGATATTAGAGATGGATATTCACTGCTTCTGTGGCACAGGGCTTCGGCCCAGGGCTTAAGGATTTCGACAAGCAAAGCCTCGGCCCGAGCCTTGAACAAGCCTTACCGCAGGGTCGGGCTTCAAAGGGCTTAAAGCCCGGCCTTTCACAACACTAATCTTGTCACAACATTTAAGTGCATGAATAAGAAGGTACAGAGGAAGTCATTCACGAAGCCCGGTCAACAGTTCAGCCTCCTCTTATCGAAATGTATACAGCCCCAAACTACGAGATAAAATGGCAACGAATCTGCACAGTCATCGGCAACTGTCCCACAGTAGAGACGTGGTCCCAGGAGAGTAACTCGGGTTCACGATGATCAAGAGGCTTAATCCTCCCCCAAGGGTGTCCAGGGTTACGCGACGCCTGAGGGTCGACTTGAAAGTAGAGCTGCGCAAGAGTGTTAATGGGAACGTAGTCAGGACTGGAGACAGAATGGGACATTTACAAGGTCTCCGGATGAGCCGAAAGTTCGGACAAGAACGATAAACCAAACATATTGCGAAGAGTCTACGGTGGTTGTAACTGAAATATGGTCACATCTCAATCCACAGATTTCGTACACGTAAGATGAAAATCGCCTCACCAAGTTCCAGGTGGTTGCAAATATAAGGATGATGATCTCCGAACACATCCGTAATTGTCTGTCGGTGCTCGGACAACCAGTCACCAAATTGGTCTCCTACAAGTTCCCGGCAAATGGCACGGCCAAGACCAAGACTGAGATGACATGGTAGGTTATATGTCAGAGGAATGGTATATACTCTGCTTCTGTGAGTGACGGATAGATATTTATAAGAAAGGAACACCAACGATCTTCCCTTCGTCCAAGCTCCAAGCTTGTGAAGGATGTCTGACTTTTTGTATTCATAGTCCCATGCCAGCGAGGGGGAATATTTTGGGTTTGTGGTAACTTTTATGTGACCGTCCTTGAGGAGAGAAGGGATCCGATTGATTCGTGGTTCCGCTGAGGACGCCGGATCAATGGCATTGAACAATACGATAAACTTCTTAGAGAATGGATGAATATATCCCACAGAGCCCAGAGGAATGCTCTGTTCAAACATGGGAATATACCGCTTGACGTAGTCAGGATATAAGCCCGGGCCAGCTGGATAATTAGAACTAGAATGCAAAAGATATACGATAACTTACGATCTGGCCCATGAAGCAAAAACTGATGGAGCTCCCGTTCGCCAAACATGACGCGGGACTGGAATTCTGTCCCTAGGTCACACGCTGGGGTATCATACGTCATCAAAACGAAAGAAGACACCCCGGGAATATCAAACTGTATGTATGTTGTCAGTGAAGCTAGACATTTCCATTCGGTGAGAGGGGTCATGAGTGGTGCGATGAGGCTCCCAGAATGCAAAGCTGACGGACTCGTCGGGAAAGGCCGGGCTGGTCACACTGACAATGAAGGGGACGTGGTAGAGTGATGAATACCCACCACCGATAGTGGTATACAATCGTCAGCCGGGTGGTCTGTAGAGGAAGCCAGAAGCGGGGAATGTGGACCTGAGGATCGTCGAGATAGTATACGTAGATATGAATCCCATCTGGAGGCGTAACAGGACCATTAAATAGCCTTCGAAGGACCGATTCTGTCCCCCTATTAGCTGTGATTGAGGGGTTGCATTTTGCATACTGAACATCATCTGGCTTGAGCATGCAGTCTACTTTGAACGTTATTGTGCGGCAAAGTAGCGGGTGAGGCATTGATGACATTGATGGGATGGTATACAGATAACCTCCGCTATAGAATAAGGAGGTGACCAAGTGGGTGGAATTAATCTCCTTGATGATGGCGGACCATTGTTTGGATACAAGGGAGCAGGCTGAGAAAGTTTGAATGTATTCATTAGTGGATGATTGGGTGGACCAGAGTTCAAAGAGAATATGGGAGATGAGCTCAGATGGAAGCGCCATCGCAGTTCGGGATGAGGTGGTGACGACAGGTACAAGTTCGGGCCGAAATAGTTTTACGGCCTGTGCATCCGCTTGTCTGACTGTGACTTGGATTAGGATAACACGTTTCCAAGCGCTTCGCCCTTGCAGGAAGCATCCATCACAACGTTGTTGAAGCGGATAGAAGAATGATAGATCATAATATGTATATGGAGAATACTGAGTGTACTATTAAAAAGGTGCCTTATCGCTTGTTGTCAATACCTCATAGCTCGCCAAAAGGCCCACCATCTAATAGACTTTCTAGCCACTCATGCTTAGCTTTCATTTGTAACTTGTGGCCTCTGAATTTTTCCTTATCGAAGTCAATTATAGAAAGATGTCCTTCGTCGTCTGCAACCATGTTCCACGTTCAGATGTTCCCACAAGCGACACTGGCTGCATGGATTCTCTCTAGTACTCAGAGTAGGTAGGTAGTATTCCACGGCATGGTCCACCGGGGGATGCCGTAGTGTCGCCCTGTGGTGCATGCATTAGTCTTGATGAAGTGGTGGGCCAGCGCAGAGCGTGGCATATCCGAGTCCTGCGTGTGTGGGAGGGGAGCACTCGAGGTGTTGTCATTGACAGTGTAGCCACTTGAGTTTGCACTGAGTGTAGGTTAAAACTTTACATGATAAGCTTCAAAGAGAGGAAAGTACGCACTTTGTTCGTGGTCCATTTCAGCAGCTCAAGCAAGAGCCGGTGAGCTGTTTGATACTACCATGGTCACCGAGCTCAAGTACATGTAGAAAAAGAAAGATAAGTTGCCTGAGACTAAGATCTGGCACCCAAATACTCCGATATGCCATGAGAACTGGTTGGAAGCATGCAAAATTTGCTGCCTTAATACTTGCTTCTTGTCCCTGTCAGAGCGAGACTTGTACTGAAGTGGTTGAGGTACGTTTTTATTCATCGATCTGAGGTTTATCTTTTTATCGAGCTCCGTTTAGTCAAGCCAACAGATCTTGGGTCCTGAATAGATGGGCGTTGAGTATGGCAACGACGGGGAAAGGAGTACAAACTCACGATAAATGAAGAACGCACATATGTATCTGTACCCTTCCCCCCCGGACATCGGTCTATGATCTCATCGTGTTCTTGAAGCTTGATCACCGGTAACATCAAGCTTGATCACCGGTAACATCTTGAGTATGGTTCAGCGCGCAACGAAGGCATCAGTAGAACATGATTCCGGTCTTCGCAGTCCCATAATGACAATACAAGGACCGAGAGTCAAAGCCTACAAAATGTTAGTAAAAATGATACAAGAATTCTGAATAGTTCATACCGTCGCTCGCCAAAAAGAGATACGTTGCCTCGGAGCAATATTAACCTCCCATACCCTACGGAACACTCCACCGTGCAATACCGTACACCTAGGTTCATGCTAGGGAGCCGGTATTGCTCCCCGCAATGCGCTGGTCTTGGGAAAAATGGTATTGATCTTGATTTAAAATGAGTAAAAGTAACTTATAAATGTCCTAATGAGTACTTTACGTTGCTTGCGAGACATCGATCTGTATACTCAACACGATCTCGGGAGCTAAATACATAGGTATTGAGTGTGGGAATGATGTAGCAGTGAGCATGGACTTACGAGGGATGAACGCGGCACGTAGGTAAGTGTTCCATTGCTCTCCAGGCATCGATCCCTCCTCAATGTGCTCTCGAAGCTTGATTGTCATGAACATCTTGAGTCCAGTTCAGCATGCGACGGAGAACAGAATTCAGGTCTTCACAGCCGCAAGATGGCGACACGAAGATTGAAAGTCCAAACCTACAGGACTTCATTAGTCAAATTAGCACAAGTGACAAGAACGATAAACAGTCCGTACCATTGCTTTCCGGCAGGAAATGTGTCATCTCGGCGCATTATTACCTTCCCAGAATCTACATAGCACTCCACAGCGAAGTACTATACAGCCAGGTTCGCCAGAATTGCTCCTCACATCGCGCTGTCCTCGAAAAATATGTTGATTGTGAGGAGAATCGGCCCTAGAAACGAGTCAGTACATAGCAGCTCGGGAAGAAAACTGGTGGGTTACAATGGATGATGTGACGAGCTCACACTGTCAGAGATGTCGTCTCCTTGCGACCTCGAGTGTTCAAAATCTGGAGCTTGATATCGATGCTGTGGAAACGGAGGGACCTCGTACTTACATCGTACGAGGGATTATGGTTCTCGACAACTCAGACCTCGATATTGAGATTACTGGAAGGACGATGCACTCAATAGATCCATATTTGCGATGCAATACTAACGGGACAAGAGAGCGAACAGTCCATAATAATACTAGTCTGAAAGAGTCTGAAGGAGAAAGCCGACAGAGAGAAAGACAAAGCGAAAAAGAATCCGGCGGTAACAGGATCCTGAAGCGTAAAGTCGGGTACTGGTACTAAGAGTCAAGCTGTCGTTTTCAGAACACGTTAATACGAATGACCGTCATTGACCGACATAAGAATTTCGAACAGATATTGAAAACAGGCAGAAGATCGATGCCGAGACTGCCGAGGTTGCCGAAACAAGATGACGTATATTCACCCGGGGAAACCTCGGAATGCACCGCCACCGAAACCGGACTCGGAATCATGTATTGAAATCATATCATTTAGACGCACCCTTCTTCTTCAGAGACAGTAATTCCGGACGCGGGAGAGTCCGAACGATGTGCCAATGCTTGCCCATTACAACTTAAAAAGAGCTCCCGTATCGGACTCAATGTGCAAAAAACCGTAGGAATATCTCCTGCCACAACGGGTACAGGACCATATAACAGACGTCGGTATATCTCATACTCATAGCGTAACCTCTCTTTCTGTTCTTCAGACAGTGCGAGCTTGACGATAACATTTTCTGAATAGCGCGCTACACTTCCAGAAGGCATGTCCACCAAAACTTGGGCTTCGTGTACCTGCCCGGTGGGCACCTTGACCTAATTTCTTCCCAACAAGAAGAGTAAAACAGTCGTCGTAACGATATGAACGCTGTCGACCAAGGCTGTTTGGTTGTCTGAAGAATGAAGGCGAACGAGAATGATAATTCTCCGTCGTATGTAAGTACTTGTACTGCATGACATTCCTAGTCGAGCTGCAAGTAAAAGGCATCTTGGACGGATTGCGTGAATGGCAGCAATGCTACTCCAAGGACGAAAGTATGGCTCTGCGCAAAGGGAGTGACGGATGGGAGGTGCTAACATGCGCAACTTTAGGGTATGGACGGCGGGATTGGTTGATAATGGCGCGCTACCACAGCTAACATACGCGCCATCCATATCCCAGTTTCCCATCTCATAAAGATGAACTCTCGATGTGTCGTATGAATCCATCGTGACTGCTATCGGGATCACTCTCCTGCACGCCGAAACATTCCAATACACCATTCCTGCTGCAGAATACCATCATATTCAAACGGTAGAGGTCGATTTGTCCTGGGTCGTCTGTATGAGCATCAAGTGCGCTTGAGGGGACGCGTGTCGGTGATGAAGCCTCCCTCGGGGAAGATCTCGTTGATTTGGCTGAACAGAGGTCGGGGCGAGATGGACGTGGGCACGACGTCGAGATTCCCTTCTGAGGATGTCGAGGGTGACAATCGTGGGTGCGCTTGCGGGTGGGAGAGTTGGGAGGTGGTGCAGGAGGTCGAGTGCAGTTGGGAGGGTCTCGGTGGTGAGCGTCATGACACCGAGGGTGAGGTGCGTTTGAGATCGGCAACTCGGGCACGGAGGGTCGGGTGTGTTTGGCCGAGGGGTGTCGACATAACTGCATACAATGAGCTGGGATTAGCAGGTAGATGCATACACTCACAGTGTGTAGGTCATGCCATTGTAGTCGTAAAAAGGCCTCGGGTTATCAGCCCGAATAGCCGGCATCCTCAACTCTCTTGCGTGAGTAGCTGAATCCTCCATTTAACAGCACGAATACCCATCTCCCAACATCGAATATTGAAGGGCCTAATCGACGCCTTGCCTAAAAGCACGCTCCCGACAACGACGCAAAAAAATTGGGAGAAAGTCAAACAAATGTCTAACCGCGTTGGTGCTTCCGCTCTCCTTACAGGAAGAGGTAGCTAGAGTCGGGGTTCAAAATGATATGGTGAGAATGATATTCGAGGAGGACCCTCGATTTGTAGAATCACTGGATGGCGCAGTCGTGTGTCACTGCGCTACGTAGATTCGAAATGGCAAGGGGCAAGTATTGTATGATCAACCGTGAGCTCCCTATTCCACAGCGCTAGAGCCCACCGTTCATGCGAGCCAGTGGTTTGAGGGAGGACCTAGGTTCGCGCCCTTGTTTTCCTTACCGCTCTCTATCAGCCGGGTTCCACGCATCGTCCTTTTCTTGTCGTGCCGAGGGTGGCGGTGATATTGGGGTGAGCAAGATAGATAAAGTGTGATGGTCAAGGGGACGCATGTTGACGTTAAGGAATAACTGATTGATTTGGCTGAACGGAGATGTAAGATGTTAGAAGATAACTATTAAGGTGGGATGTCGGATAGTCGTGGAAGGGTATCGATTCTGAGGCGGACGTGTGGAAGAGAAAGGAGATCATAGGGGACATGTTGGACAGAGTGTGCGTTTGCACAATGAGTTTAGGCGTGGCATACGAGGTTATGGCGGAGTGAACAGTCGCCTGGCATGATATTCCTGTCGAGTAACAAGTAAAAGGCATCTTGGACGGATTCCGCGGGTGACAGCGAGGCTCTGCACAAAGGGAGTGACGGACGGGAGGAGTTAATATGTGCAGTTTTAGGGTGTGAACGGCGGATGCATGAGGGCGGTATGGAGATCAGCAACTCGGGCGCGGAGTATTGGGTGCGTCTGGCCGAGGGGTATCGACAGAACTGTAAAGAGTGAGTTGGGATTAGCGCATAGACACAGGCACTCACAGTGTGTAGGTCTTGCCATCGTGGTTGATGAAAAAGGCTCGGTTATCGGACCGATCACTCGACGAATCCCTCACATACACTCTCGCATCGACACCTCGTCATAAGGGCAGGAAAACCCTCAATTCGCCCTCTCATAACACGAATACCTCTCCCACAACAAAGAACCTATGCTAAAGAAGCTTCTTTCCTTGGACCATGCTCTCAACAACCCAACCGACGTCGATAAATGCCAGGAGAAAATGAAGTCTGTACTGAGACTGAACCTGGATGATACATCTGCGCGCGCTTCTGGCGAACGTCCGCATAAAGTAGTAGCTACAGTCGGAGTTTTGAGATAGTACTTAGTATGTTTGTAGTGAGTCGTGACGGAGGACGTATGTTTCGACTGATCACACACTACAAACTGCTAAAATCCCTTCGATCACGGATGTTGAGAATTCCTGTACCCAAGCCGCCGAGATACTAGGGAAGAAGCTCATGTGCAGTGCAGCAAACTCTCGAGGTGGTATGTCCTCTCCGCGTTTCTTTCTTATTCTCTTGACGGACATACCATATCACCACTTTTTCTCAAGTGCCCGTGTTTTTGGTCGGAAGCAGGCCCCGTTCTAAATTCTGGATCTTGCGACCAACCTGCATTGAAACACTCCTATTCATGCGGAGGGTGGGTGTCATGACAAAGGAGGATACTGCCAAACTACGTGGTCCGAGTCCGCAAATTTGGTGCCAGTGTCTATATCACCTGATTTCCCCCCGGATTTTTCTTTAGGTGGAATCATTAGCCTCGGACTTTTTGGATTTGGGGGAATTAGTCAGGCGAAGGGAACGCACGCTATACACTGCACCCTCTCTAACTCGTGGGCACCCCTCACCCGATAACTGTCACTACGCCGACGTCTTGTTCGTCTCACCCGCCAAGTGTCGGAGGGTCGTTCGAGGGGAATTGCATGTGGTCAGTTGCACGCTAGGTCGTAGTTGCGAAAAAGCCTCCGTTATAGCCGGTGAATCAGCGTTGTCTTCTCTTAACAGCACGAATACCCACCTCCGCCAACCACTCATGCATTTATGACCAAGTACAAAAAAACCGAATGCCAACCCTCTTCCCTCTCTTCCCATCCCGACATGCATCCTGCCCTCAAACGGTCTTCCCTAAACCCAAAGTGCAATACCTACCCCCCACACCCACGCCAAAAACGCTCCCCAAGAAGACATCTCTTCCCATGCTAATGACCCCCCTCGTCCAAGGTCGCCACTGTCGGGGTTTCGCTGATGATGACGACGTGAGTATTTTCTTTTCTCACGGTGTGTTAGCGACCGTAGTCTCTTCCATCCCTACTTGCCTTTGTCTATATCGTTCATCACCTCCCCCTTCCCTTCCCTAGTCGCACTGCTACCTGTCAGCACGACTTTCTGCATCTGACACGTCGGGAGGAGAATGTTATCCCACTGGCTCAAAGGTAGAATCAAGTAAACCCCACGCTGGAGGAGAACATACACTTGAATTTTCATAAGTGGAAGGTAAGCGCGTTCTTTTTTTTGTTATGTATGGAGTATGGAATCTCAAGCCTGTCTATGTAGGATCGTCGACGTCTTACCCAACCCATACTCGAATCATGTAACGACCTCCCTGCCCCTGCATGCATCCGACAGACCGTATACTTTCTTATCGGATGGCATGGTGTCTGGGGAGGAAACATCATCCATACCTTTGCGCCCCTCCCCCCCCGGAAATCGAGTCGTACAAGCTCAAGTTCGTTCATGAAAACATGTCCATTCCCTGACGCACCGTTGATGATTATAACGAGGGGGGAAACCACACTTGAAGGCGTGGCACTACGAATCCGCCCGAATACATGACACTCATTTTTTGGGAACACCCTCATCTTCGCGGCGTACGGAACTGTTTTTTCCCGATCATGGTGTCTGGTCGCCATTTAACTTGGGATCCAGGGAACGCTTTTCAGAAATGTCCCCACTGGCGGGGAAAGTCACACATGAAACATGCCCGACAAAGAGCATATAACTCTGGTTGGGAACGTAACCTGTAGTCTAAACCCTCTCTTGCGGTATGGAAGAGAAGGTAAGTGTCAGATGGCCATGTATGTATTCACCATGAATACTCTCTTTTTGAGATACTAGGTGCACGTATCAGTGTCCCGATCTGCGCAAGGACATGTGGAAGCATCGGCCATACGTTCATGAAGTGTCCTGTGGAGTAACAACGGCAAATGCATTCCCGTCCAGGTAATGGGTCCCCTGCGTCAACTGAACAGTGGTATCCATGTGGTTGGTTTCATCGCTGATGAGTCGGACCATCAAAGAGTCCTCGACTCCGTGGGCCGCGATATAGGTTGCATCGTCAACCGCGGCAAATTTCACTCAAACACGCACAAGGAAAAACATATCCATGAAGATCAATTTAATTATCCTGAAGATGATCGACCGTATTCGTGCGTCGCAACCCTTTGTACTTCTTTAGGCAAAATGGCTAGTCGCCGGTATGGATCAACAATCAATCAAAGCAACTGGAATTTGAAGCGGCTGATCGATCTCGACTTTGTTTTTTTTTTGGAGGACTGGCCAGTCGCTCATTTCAGTTTCGTCTCTACGCTTATTTCATGATGCCTCAACTTTGTCAATTGAGTAACTCGAATGCAGATCCACCGCTACAAACTTCATACAGTGCGAAGGAACGTGCTGCGTGGAGTATCTTCGTTTCGCCGTTTGGACTCGACCCTTGTCAGTTTGACTCGAATAACCTGTGCTGCGCGTTAATCCCATCATGTAGGGACAATTTCTCGTGGTATACATTGCAAGTGCCTTAATACTCTTCAACGCCCGGCGTTTTCTAGTCCCCATTCTGCATATGCCAGTCTAATTCATGGGCTAGGAACGCCTTCAAGACAAAAACCTGTTGTTCTGGTGGTACGGTATATCTATGCCATGATGACCTCAGACGCCGGCATCATCAGGACGAAGCTTCGTACGCTACACGAATGAATGGGATGCGTCACTCACTGTTATCCCATGCTTCTCGACGTACAGCTTGATCCCTCTGCTCCAGCGACTTCATTGTTCTTTTCTCGGATCCGCCGACTTGCGATTTCCCTCCCTGGAGAGACCGGTATAGAGACTATTGTTTTTCTTCGAGGCGCTGCGAGTCTCTGGACTCCGTTCCATCAAAATGGTGCCCCGACAGGTAAGGAACTACTTGCTTTGATGACACCTGATCACAAATTAATGCAAAGAACAACAGCCTCCTCAGAGTATATGTGGATACGAACATTTCACAGGCGTTTCCTCGATGTACTTTAAAAGCTCGCGGTAGTTTCTTCAATAGAGCATAACTCACCAGACGAAGCACTCTACCCTTGCGTTCTACACCACCTTTTAAATCACTCTAACATCCTTCCTCGCTCGCGGCTTCACTATGTCAAAACCAAGTCAGCGTGATCAGCGTGCGGCAGGCCTGTCCGCTGCGTCCATAAAGGCGCTTTCTGGAGAAGAGGGTGCGCAAGCTTCCTGTTTTTGATTATTTCGAATCCTGACATCAGTTCACAAGCTCTGAGATTCCTCTTTGACTATCGGCCTAAATTCACCAAACTACAAGGCTTTGTGGGTAATGGCGGGACTCGCTACCCTGCGCAGTACGACATGCATATGCATCCTCAGCTGGTTCTCAAAGACGTCATCCTTTTTCCCGACATGCTCGAGCAGCTTGCTGGTTTCGTTGATTCCAGGCTCTTCCTCTTGACTGCCAGGCGACTGCCCCATGTTCCCCCGTCTAGTGAATTGCATCCAGGGCGGATTCGCCTTGACTGGGATATCAATACTGGCATCGTGATAGGGCCCAAGGATGATCTCAAGCGCGTATATCCAAGCCTGCAGAAGGTTCCATCGCTGATCGCTTCGACTCTGATCACTGGTCTTGATCAATGGTCGGACATCTTCAGATATAGTGATACCCCTACGTCCGTGATGCCTTGTGCTCTGGCAGATGGATATCTCTCGCTCGATAGAGATGTCATCGGGCTTGCCGAAAACCTTGATGCCATCAAACTTCCCAAAGGTCTCGACAGCGATATTCAGCTTGTCATCGAGACGGGCTTGTCCGATTTTTTGTTCTGGGACTTCAAGAATATGAATGAAGGGAGTGAAGGAGTCATGCGGGCTATCAGGTATTTGACTGGCTCAAAGTTCCCTTGGGTGAGCTGTCCTGCATCTGAGAGATGCTATGGACGGTTTTGCCAGGAGAAGACAAGCGACGGGGACCAGTTCGCTGTTACGGGGTATAAAACGGGCGTGGATGGAGGTATTCTGGGGGATGTCGGGTCTGGTGTTGCCAACTCGAGCGAACTCAGATTTGATATGTCTAACTGTCTTTCTGTGGCGTCTGACTTGAACACGAGCGCGTGGCCATTCAAGCGCGATGTAAGGAAATTGGGGAAGGGGACGAAAAAGAGATTAGCATCAGGTGATGGGTCTGACGAAGACGACGGTAATGGTGACGACGGAGGTGCCGATGAAGATTCTCTGTCTAGGCTTCCATTTAGCAGGTTTGAATTTGCGAAGGCGCTTAGAATCATCCAACAGGTACCTGTGGTTCTGTTCTTTATTCTGCGATAACAAGTCTAAAAAGTGAAAATAGATATGGGCCGAAGCTGTTAACATCGATGCAACGTTCATGGTTTTGAATGCCGGGAGCCGGGAGTTTATAGGCATACGTGATCGACAGCTACAACGCCTCTATCTGTCGCCGTTGATAGATTTAGACAACCCCGGTAGTCTTCCTGCGGGCTACTTCAAGATCCACACCGGCCTACGGATTGCAGCACTCCATGATGTGATTCAGCGTGCAAAACGGTTGAAGGCGCTCTCACGCCTCCCCGAACTATACACATTCAAATATGACCATGGAAGACCCTCCGACGACCAGCCGCCATTGAACATCATGAAGACCGCCAGGCCTCGGAAGTCTACGATGACTGCAAGGGCAGCAAAAGTCAAGATTTCAGAAGCTCACGTGGAGGGGATCGAGCAGACTTCAGAGGTAAGCACAGAACGGCCATGATATCCCCCTGAAAATTAGTGACAATCTTTCATCAACAGCTCTTGCTGCAATTGCGAGAAACAGAGAATGTGACGGGCAAAGTGTATGGCTTGGGAATGTCGGAATCATCGGGGCTCTACTCCCGGGCCAGAGGAAATGGATCGAGTCAGGAGGGATGCGACATGATGGACATAGATGTTTAACATAATATTGCATGAGAAGCTGAGAGAGCTTTGATTGGCATCCGGTCTGATAGTTTCATAGAAGCAGACTCTGCTGTATTCGCTGTCTGGTCCTCACAAATGTCGAGCTTGATTATCACCTTGTGAGAATAATGGGCTGCTAAAATGCACATCGAGAATTGTTATGAATGGAAATCCGGTAGGTCTTCAGTCAATCCTCCTGATGTCACAAAGGTTCGGAATGATCAAAGTTGAATGCAAACACAGATGCAGCTTGAATGAGGGCATCCTCTTCCGCAGAGGGGCCAGGAAATTCCAGACGCCATGGCGACGACAGTCTTATTGTAAGGATCCCATCTGACGAGTATGTAAGGGAGAATAAAATGGTTTGCCTCGGGAGTTCGGACTTGAACGACGATGAACTCCGACCGTGGTGACCTCTTCCCCATAGAAGCAGGCGGCAATGTTCCAGAAGGGCATACAGAGGCATTAGTACAGTCCCGTCTGAGATATCCGACTGTGGAATTCATTTTTTCCTGGCATTTTCGTGTTCGGCGACATCGATTGGGTTGTTCAGCGGTCGCTGGGAGCCTGGTTTTAGGGAAGACGTTGACTGAAACTTTTTAGCATAGGTTTGTCGTCGTGGTAGGGGTATCCGTGTTATGAGACGGCGGATTGAGGGTTTAACGTTTAGGGACAAGGAGAGGCCAGTAGCACAGGTGATCGGTTCGATAGCCGAGGCTTCCGAGTCCAACTCTCCGCGTCAGTCATTGATATCCATGTCGCCTTCAATCTTCCTGCACCAGACTCTACGCTCACAAGTCATTGTCGCGTCCACTTCACCCTTGGCGTCATCAAAATCACCGCTGAGTCTCTCCCGACTGCGTTCGACCTTCTGCACCGCCTCCCGACACTCCTCCCACTCGCAAGCGCACCTCCGACCGTCGCCTTCGACATGCTCGATGTCCTCAGGAGGGAATCCCGACGCCGTGCCCACGTTTTGTGAGTCGTTCCATCTCTCCCCGAAGCTTTATTCAGTCAAACCAATCAGATCGTCCGAAGAGGGCTTCATTACCGACACGCGTCCCTTAAAACTGCACATACAAAAGACCCGGGACTGCGCGCTCTCAGTCGTTCGAATACGACAGTGTCCTGCGACAAGATGGTGTGCTCGAATGCTTCGGCGTGCAGAAGGGCGACTACGCTGAGCTCCCGATGGCAGTCATTATGGGCTCGTACGACGTGCCGAGAGTCCCGCTTAGCATCCCAAATATTCTCCATCCACTCTTTCATTCCTCGGCACGCTGTTACCAGTGTTACCAGATCGACGCGGCCAACGCATACGTGTCAAACTCGTGCCCTTTGGCTTTCCACCGGCGCACGATGTCTACTATCGAATTGACATTCATACATGCACATTCCAACGCCTATGGGAGGAACTAAATATCTCAGCCTCTCAAAGATGCTACTCTCTGCCGTGCTGGCATAGATGAGAACCCGTTCTCTGAGCTCCCGTTGGCTGCTCCCTAGGATCATACAGTGCCCCGAGATTTTTTCTCTACGAAACGTGAACGCCCTTCGATACGTCCACAACACACGTACGAGAAACTAGTACGTTGGTAGAGGGGTGTTCGTGTTGTTAGAGGGCGGAAGGAGGGTTTAGCTGTTCGTACGACGAGGAGAAAGAGACACGAGCGTAGTCGAGTTGGTCATTCCGTCTTGCCCCGAACCTTTGTTCAGCTAAATCAACGAGATCTTCTCCAAAGAGGGCTTCATCACCGACAGCACATCCCCTTATACTGCACAAACAGGGGACCCAGGACACAATGCTTTCGGCCGTTTTAATACGATGGGATTCTGCTGTGTGTTAGAACGTTTCATACAGGGGAACCCCCGACGGCGGTCACGATGGGCTTGTATGACTTTCCAGGAGTTCATCCTCGTGAAACAGGAAGCTGGGACGTGGACGGCGGGTCTGCTAGCTGTGGCAGCATGCCATTGTCAGTCACCAATCCTGACTCGCTCATGCATCATGGCTCTTTTCAGCTCTGTTGATTCCAGATGCCTATGAATTTGGTTGGATCCCTCTTGCCTCGTAACTTTCAGTTACGCCGGTTATGTCGCCTTCAATTGCAGACGTAGCTATGGGGCAAATAGAGAAAACATGGATACATGTACCACGATGAATGCATGCTATTTCGTTGCAGAAAGCAGACTGATTCGTCCAATGGTTGGGTTGTTTGCTTTCTCAGAATCGTCCCCCCGAACAACGTGGTCTGCTTGGAGAAGGGAGGATGATGCTCCTTCATTACGCAGGGAGGAGCGTCTGAAACTTCCCGCCGTCTACCGCAACTCAGAGTCCAGAGTTCAGAGCACTCGATAACACGGCCCAATTCGAGAGAAGATCAATAAATGCGCATACCAGAGGAGGAAGACTTAAACCCGGCCGCTGAAACGCCGGAGACAGTTCAAGCACGCTGACGTCCATACCAGAATTGTTCACAACCACCACTGCAATTGTCAGAGTGAGGGTAAGCGTATTTTCTTTGTTGTATACGTAAGCTCAAGCACTGAAGACTTTCTTAAAGGCCTCCTACGCCATGCAGCTGTCTATGTAGGGTCGTCTTACCCATACTCGAATCATATAACGATTCCCTGGCGGCCTCCCTGTATGCATCCGACAGATCGTATACTTTCATACTTTCTTTTCTCGGAGACAGGATGGCATTGTGCCTGGGAAGGAAGCACGTCCCGTTTCCCTTTCGGCTTGTGTTCAAGATACGGCCCCTCGAAATTGGGGCGAGCAACGTCAAGTTCGTTCGCGAGAACACGTCCATTCCTGCCATTCCTTATGTTCTTAACGTCATTTCTGATGACCCACCCGACGTATCCGTCCGAGTATCAGCATTACATGACATTCATTTTTGGTCCACACCGCCTTCGCGGCGTACAGAGCTGTGTGACTTCGCTTTATCCTTCGATATACCTAATCTCGATCTCTCAGGTACTTATCGGGGACCTGAGAAAGGCTCTCGCTGGGGTGTCTGGCGTTTATGGGTTGCCAATTAGTCTTCCTCGTTCATGCTCAAAGGTTACGTCGTTCCAAGAGCAGGTGCATGTATCGGTGTAGCAAGTGCCCAATCTGATATTAGATCGATAGAAGGTGTGGAACTAGCCCACAGAGGCGATGTAGCAGAGTGCAGCAGCCTTGGACGGAGCCGGGTGATATACTCTGCCATCCCGGTACGATGGCATACGTTAATGGATAGTGTGGAGCGTGTCCTGTACAGTAACAACGGACGAATACAACGAATGCATTCCCACGCATAACGCCGGATTCCAGTCTACTGTTCTGGTATGCCTGAGAAAGTGATGGATCCCTGCGTCAAGTGAATGGTATCCATGTGGTTGGTTTCACGTTCAGGCTTCGTTGATGGTCCTCAGGGACACCGTTGAGTCGGACCATCAAAGCTCCGCCGGTCAGTCCTCGACTCAGTGTATGTCACAGAGGACGTGCGCCGCGACCGTGTATGTTGCATCGTTAACCGCGGCAAGTTTCAAAACACGAGGAAACCATGAATATCAATTTAATTATCCCGAAGACGATCGACCATATCCGCGCGCCGCGACCATCTAGAGTCCTTTGTACTTCTTTAGGCAAAGTGGCTAGTCACCGGTAGGGATCAACAATCAGTCAAAGCACTGGGATTTGAAGCGGCTGATCGGATCGATCACCGATCTCGACCCTTTTCTTCTACTATCACACGTTGAGTAGGACTGGCCAGTCGCTCATTTCAGATCCATCTCTATGCTTAGATCCCACCAGATTCTGTGAGCTATTTTATGTTGCCTTAACTTTCACCGCTACAGCTATTTTCTAGAGAGTTGCGTCAGATGGGAAGGAGCGCGCTGCGTGAAGTGTCGTTGATTATCTTCGTTTCGCCGTTTGGACTCGACCTTGTCAGTTTGACTCGAATACCCTGTGCTGCGCGTTAATTCCATCATGTAGGGTCAATTTCTCGTGGTGTACATTGTAAGTGCCTTGATACTCTTGAACGCGCGGCGATTTGTTGTCCCCGTTCTACTCCGTCCGTTCTGCATATGCCGCGCTGATTCATGGGCTAGAAACTTGTTGTTATGCTAGTATAGTCTATTTAGGACACGATGACCTCAGGCGCCGGTATCATCACGACGACGCTTCGCACGCTACGCGAATGAATGGGATGCCGTCAGTCACCGTTATCCCACGTTTTACAGCCCTTCTCGCCATCGCGGACGTACGGCCTGATCCCTCTGGTCCAGTTGATCTCATTGTTCTTTTCTCGGATCCGCTGACTTGCGCTTTGAGGACTTCTCTCTGGATAGACCGGTATAGAGACTATTGTTTTCTCCGAGGCACTGCAAGTCTCCGGACTCCGTTGCATCAATATGGCGCTCCCACAGGTGAGTAACTCTTTGCTTTGATGACACCTGATGATCACGAATTCGCATAAGGTTAATGCAAAGAACAACAGCCTCCTCAGAGTATACGTGGATACGAACATTCCGCAGGCATTTTCTCTGTGTACTTTAAAAAGCTTGCGGTAGTTGCTCCAAACGAAGCTCTCTGCCCTTGCATCCTGCACCACTTTCAAATCACTCTATCATCCTTTCTCATTAGCGACTTCACTATGTCAAAGCCAAAGCGTCGTAATCAGCCTCAGGCCCGTCCGCGCGCTGCGCCCACGCGTTCCAAAGATACAATTCCTGGAGAAAATGGTGCGTAGGCTTCGGGATTATCTGCTTTCAATACTGACTTTGATTCACAAGCTCTGGAATTCCTCTTCAACTATCGTCCTAAATTCACCAAATTGAAGAACTTTGAAGGCAGTAATGGGACTCGTGATCCTGCGCAGTACGACATGCACTTGCATTCCCAGCTAATTCTCAAAGATATCGTCCTTTTCCCGGACATGCTTAATCAGCTTGCTGGTGTCGTTGATTCCAAGCTCTGCCATTCGGCCAGAAGCAATGGGTCTCTACCTCAGGTTTTCCGTAATAGCCTATTGGATCCAGATAAGGTTATCTTGAGCATGGGGGACCCAGAGACAGGCTTTACGATTGGCCCCGAAGTTGACCTCCAGGGAAAGTATGATAACTTACAGAAGCTTTCATCTGTGGCGGCCTCAACTCTTTTTGCTGGACTTGAAGAATGGTCAACCATCTTCGGGTATAGCAGTAAACCTATATCCATGGCGCCTTGTGCTCTCGCGGACGGATACCTCTCTTTGGACGAAAAGGCTATCAAGAAGGCCAAATTGCCCAAAGGACTTGACAGCGACCTCAAGCTTGTCATCAAGAAGGGCTTGTCCGACTTCCTATTCTGGGAGTTCAAGAGTATGAACGCGGGAAGCGAAGAAGTCATGCGAGCCATTCGTCATTTGGCTGGCTCAGAGTTTCCTTGGGTACGCTGTCCTACATCCCAGAGTTGTAATGGACGTTTTTGCAAGAAAACAAACAACAGGTTTCAGTTCACCATCACGGGGTATAAAACAGGCGAAGACGGGGATATTATGGAAGATGAGTCTGGCATTTCGACGGAAAACGGATTCAGGTTCAACAAGTCAAGCATTGACTTCTCCGTGACACCCATACCGGACCCCAGGGGATGGAGGTTTCTGCGCGAGAGAAAGACAGCGCAGAAGAGATCTAGAGTGAGGTCACGTTCGGACGATGATCCTGATGAAGACGACGGAGAAACTGGAGGAGGGGATATAGACGATGATGGCGCAGAGGACAATGCCAGAGTTATGCTGCCTTTCACTCAGCAGGCTTTCGAGAAAGCAAAGAAAATCATTCAACAGGTACCGATAATTTTTTGTTCCGCTCTCATCCCGGTCTGATGGCGCGTTATAGATATGGGCCGAAGCCGTCAATGTCGATGCAACTTTCATTGTATTGAATGCCGGAAGTCGAGAGTATATTGGCATACGGGATCGGAAATTGCAGCGTCTCTACCTCTCGCCGTTCATCGATCTAGACAACCCTGATACCGTTTCGCAGGGATACTTCAAAATCCACACCGGTCTGCAAATTATAGCTCTTCTCGATGCGATACAGCGCGCGAAGAAACTTCACGCACTGCGAGAAATCCCAGAACTTTACACATTTCAGTATGATCGGGGCGAACCGTACCAAGACAAGGCATCGAACGCGGCCAAGGCGGCTAGGTCATCCAAGCCGACAACGACTCCAAGGGAGGCAAAGGCAGAAGCTTTGAAATCTGTCGATACCGATGAAGACGACTTCGCAGGAAGCAGCGTAAACTTTCGCCCGGTAGTAAGTACATCATACTTACATCTTCGAGTTTGGCTGAGTAATTTATTCCCAGGAATTGAGGCTCTTGCAGCGATTGCAAGATGCATGCTCTCTGAGGATTTCGTGGAACGCGTATATATCTGATTTAGGGCAGGCGGGTAGCATGATAGTGACACGATCGCTTAAAGGCCCTTTTCGTCATAGGGGGGCTCAGATCGAACTGCATGTCATGCATCATTACCCGCACAGCGCTCTTTCCTACTCTTGTTATGCTGACGACGGGGACACCACCCTAGGAGGCATCGTAATCAAGGTCGCTCCGCCCGGCCGAGCGAAAGAAGGTTTATTACATGAGCACAAGATGTATAACGCTCTTTCGAAAATCGAAGGCGTCGCCCCAAACCCTTGGGCTAGTCGATCATCTTGGACTCTACCGTGAAAGACACGAAGAAACGATAGTACTCGTGCTTCTAGATGGAGGTGATCGAGTTTCCGCCAGGTTTAGAAGGGGTACTCCCGATAATGTCTAGTGAGTGCAGTTATCGTCGTTTAGTGTGCGCGATTAACCCTAGCAGTTCCAAGGTCAAGGAAGCAGTTCGGCAGATGCACTTTGCGAAGGTTACTCACGGAAGCCTTACTCCGGAGAACATACTTGTTACAAAGGACCAACATTCCAAGAGGGGCCAATGGAACCTTCATTTCATCAGCTGGAAAGACGGTAAATACCACAGATACTTATCGGCACGGAAGGTTTTCAACAATGTCACTCTTGAGAGAGCAACGAGACGGAAACCGCCACTGAAGGCAAAGCCCGGACCGCTTGTAGGCAAGGGCAATCGCGGTCGGGAACGGCATGGGACGGACGTGAATTCCTCAAGAACGAGGAGGTTGAAGCCGCACGTTTTGGAACGGGGCGTGAAACCTGCCAGCAGGATCTACCTGACTGCCAGAGTCCATCTACAACAATTGAATGATGAAATTGAGAAGGACAAAAAGATGCTAAATAGTAGGAGGTGGAATAGTTACTAGGAAAAGAACTACCAATAGGATATATCATACCGACTCTAGTGTTTCCAGCAGAAGCGTGTTCAGGTTTGACAAGACCAACATCATTTTCTCCGTGGCTTCTGCATTTAATGCGAGCAGGCAAGAGCATGTTGAAAAGGGAAAAATGTCAGTTGACATTGAAGACGAAGACGATGGAGGTGCCACAGTGCTCTGTCGCTATGGTAGAGCCCTGCCATGACTACTCGCTCATGGCCTCAGCAGTAGGCTGGTGTGTACTGTCATAGACATTTTTAAGACGCTGGCATGCAGAAGCACCCCTGTCATGGATAGGGTAAATGTTGTTGGCAACAAAGCGAGGGGAGTTGTAGCGCGACAGCTTTCGAATCTCACTCCTCGTCGTCGAAGTGCGGTAGCCTTTTGACGGAATTCTCCTTCGTCATAGTGCAGTAAACTTGTGACGGAGAAGAGATGAAAGAAAAGGTCATCAGACTGAATACGATATGTATACCAAATTGTCGAAAGCCCTGGAACACCTGAACATATTGGACTCTACAAGCGCTAGTACAAATGGTTCTCGTTCATGTTGTTCTGGGTAGTGGTGATCTGGCCTTCATGTAATGCAAAACACAAAGATGTCTAGTGGCAGTTATTGTCGTCACGGTGCCCGACGCAGTCACTGAAGGTTCCTAGCTCTCGGATTCGAGAAGCAGTTCAAAAAATATAAACGATTACTCACAGAAGCCTTATTCCGGCGAATATTCTTGTTACAAGGAACGAGCAAGAAAAGAAGGAACAGTGAGACATCCACATGATTAGTTGGGGAAATTAAGACCATCGACGCTTATCAGTGCAAAGAACCAGCGGTATTCGAGAAGGATCGGCGGGGACAGGGAGGCTGAAGAGGTCGATGCAAGATTTGTAGTAGATCACAAGAGAGAAAAAACCGACAACCACCAGGTCGTATCTCCGAGGGTAGAGAAGCAGACATGGAGGCCAAAGGCATTCTCCTCCAAATTCACTGAGAGTACCAGTCCCTCTCCGACCATTAAGAAAATGATGCGACGCTGGGTTGTCACAGTTAAGGTGGATAGAAGGATGATATATATAGTATGGATACTAGGCTTACTATCAATAAGACACCTCGTCGCTTGTTGTCAATGCCTCATAACTCGTCACGGAGAAGCCATCGATAGGCTCACCGTCTAGTAGATATTCTAGGCGTTTGCGCTCGGCTTCCATCTGTGCTCTATGGCCCCTGTATTTTGCCCTATCGAAGTCAATTATAGAGAGGTTTCCTTCCTCATCAGCAACCATATTCCACGATCGGATGTCTCCATGAGCAACGCCGGCTGCATGGATGCTCTCTAGTATTCGGAGTAATGTAGCCCTGTGACGCATGTGTCAGTTTGACCATGCGATACCAACTGAACAACTGAACACACCTTTCTTCTTCAGAGACAGTGATTCCGGAGGCGGGTGGATCTGAGCGATGTGCCAACGGTTGGCCATTATAGCTCAAAATTAGAGCTCCCGTATCGGACTCAACGTCCTCAAAATATCCAAAAGCTCTAGGAATATCTCCTGCCGCAACGGGCACAGGCCCATATAGGAGACGTCGGTATATCGAATACTCATGACGTAACCTCTCATTCTGTTCTCCAGAGAGGGCAAGTTTGACGATAACCTTTTTTGGATAGCGCGCTATACTTCCAGAAGGCATATCCATCAAGACTTGAGCTTCGTGTACCTGCCCGATGGCACCTTGACCTAATTTCTTCCCAACAAGAAGAGTAAAACAGTTAGCGTAGTGATACGAACGCTGTCGACCAAGGCTATTTGGCCGTCTAAAGAACGAAGGCGAACTAGAATAATAATTCTCGTGCTGCAAGTAGAGAAGAGCTATGTTTCGAGTGAGAAGTTCATTTATTATCTCCTGTGGTAGGATCGCTGAGTAGGGGGAAGCTGTATGAAATCTATGACTTACCTCGGGTGCAGTTTCATCGACCGGTGTCTCTCCCAGTTTACGACGGGAACGTCTGACGGGGATATCTGCTTCGTTAGCATCCTGTTGTCGTTTGCGGGACTTGCCAGTCTGTAGCTGCTTGTGTTTGACCAAACTCGGGTCAAGGAGTGGGGCGCGTTCGATAGCATCGCGTAATATCGCCACGTTGATTGCCACCATGAGCTTTCCAAAGGTTGGATTGGAGCAAGTGCAAATATCAACCAGCTCAGATATATAGAGCGTTTGGGTTTTCCGGTGTCGAACGCCGATTCTGAGAAAGTCTCCGCAATCGAATATGATAAAGGTCGAGTCTGAGTGGACAGCGCGCGCCCAGGCCTGGATTCAAGTGTTAAACGGCTTTACGCGAGGGGAGAGAGAGGGAAACATACTCGTTGTATGAAATCTGCGACATTCTCTTTGTATCTTGACGTCCCATGTCCAGATCTGGGAACAGTGATTTTGGGGGTAGCAAGTTCTTTGACTAGCAACGAACGAACGAGCCTTTTCTTTGGAGAGGCATCACGGGGTAATCCCTTTGCAGAGGGTCGTCCCTTGAGCCGTTCACTGCGACGTGGGTGGACGGTATCAGTCTGAGTCGGGGCCGATGGTACGGGCGCCGTTTCCCACAGATACTTTGACACGTCTGGCCGTGTTACACGGGCTGAACTCGTAAATTGTCGGTGTCCCGACGTGCCACAATGCTTCCAAGGGAAGATGTCAAGAGCAGCTAAGCCCGACATATCATCCAAAATAGATTCCCCGGAGAGCGCGTATACGTCCCAGATCGCTAGTGTGGGCAAATGGTCCCACATAGACAGAATGAGTGTCTTCCGATCCAGGTCCCAGGGTTCCAGCAACTTAGCGAGGTCCTCTTTCGCATAGGTTTTATACGTGAGAGAATACTTTTGTGTATGAAATCCCATGGGAGATCCTGGACGTCCGTCTTCCATCCTAAACACTGTCTTGAGGTCAGGCTGACCCGGATGAACAACGAGAATAGAGGCCGCCTGCAAGAAGGTACTCGAGCTGTAACGATATCGCTCAGCGACGTCGGTAGCATTCTTTGGGGATCCTGTGCCGTTGTATCGTGCAGGACTGAGGTAAAGACGGGGAGAAGAGAATGATTCATTCTCAGAATTGAACGTAGAAATGTAATCGTCAAGGTTTTCCGAAAGTGTGGATATAAGGGAGGGTAGAACCGTGACTCTTTTGAGAATTAAAGAGTCATTCAAGTGTCTGTCAAAGAAAGTGATTGGAGAAGAGTCTGGCTTAGGAATGTTGGAATCAGGTTCCTGCTCGAGGGGAACTGGAACAAGTCCAAAGAGATGCTCAAAGTCAACTGTTGGTAGGAAGGATGAGGCAGACATGGCGCGTGAACTCGCCATGATGCGTGAACTCGCCATGATGGACGTAGATGTTCAACAAAATGTTGCGTGAGAATTTGAGATTGCACTTCGGACCGAGTGATCCGGCAGTAATGGAGGACCCTGCCGGTGGAATACCCATCAGTTTTCACACTCCCAACGCCTTCATCGTCTTGAGGATTTTCCAAGCCAGGTTCTTTCACCCTCGGAAGTACGAATATGCATCTTCCACGTATCAATCTATTTCAGTTTGGATAAGTTTGTTTCTTTTCCTGCTGAGGCGGATTGTAAGGTTGTCTATTTGGAGCGATATCATGAGGCCCAATGCGGCCTATACATTTCAAGCAAAGTTCCAACGACTTCGCCTGAGTCTTGCCATGTCTTCTCATAGTCCTGAGGTTCTTTCGAGTGATTCGGAGACAGTGATATCGCGAACTCTTCAATTTCCGGTATTCATCATTCATAGTCGACAAAATAGTAAGTACGTGAGCATATGTCTAGATATAGTCATGATATCAAACCATGTTCAGAACTTTCCTCTGAGCGTTCCAAGAACCAGATGTCGGACAACAAACATCAGTACCACCGCAAGCAAGATGGTGCTACCTGTACGATTTTTTTCGGCTGTCAGCAAGACCTCAAATAATCAGTACTCGTACCTGCATAATACCCCACGACCTCAAACCCACCCGTAACTGTATGGATCGCGCCAGAGATCGGCGGACCTGCAAGCGCGCCGAGGGCCGCTACCGACATCGTCATCCCCGTTCGTCGCCCGAGATCACCAATCTCGCCCAATTCGAAAATGGGAGTGAGGAATGAAGAGGCGTACGCTCCGCTGGAGAAGCTAGGATCGCCATACTTGTGAGCAACATGTAGTGTGAAAAATGATGAGGAGGCCTACCCATATATTATGGCTACGATAATCATAGAAGGCAAGATCCGCGCGAATGGCCAGACATATGTGAGGCCAGCCGTTATGATTGTTGCGGGTCCGAAATAGTTCACAGCGCCTGCGGGTGAAAGGGTCAGAAGGTATTCCAGGTAAACGAATGGAAAAGTTGAGGTACCTATTCGATCGATAAAGATCCCGGCCACGATTCGTCCGATTCTCGAGCTGGCATTGACGATAGAGACCATGTAGAATGAGGTATCGGCCGATATTCCATAGGCTGCGGCGCTGACACTGATATAGGTCAAGACTAGGAGACACAAGGATAAGAATGAGAATGCGAGAGGGCGGACTTGGAAGCATCGCACCTGTATACAGCCCCAAGAAAGCGATAAAACTGGCGATAAACCAAATCGTATACGGCGCGCTCCTGAAAGCTTTCAGGTTGAGTATACCCCCTGATACATTTGCAGGCGGAAGTCGGCGTTTCAGCGTCAGGTTGGCGATACCCAGGACGAACATTAAGATGAAGGCGATGATCCGCATTGTCCATGGAAACCTGTCAGAGAGGCCTTTGAGAGACGATGTAATTTCGGGGAAGGAAGAAGACTTGCCTTACGGCGTTTATGAGGTTAGGAGCGGTTATTGGGATGACGGTACCGCCGATCGAGAAGCCAGTAGCCATGATACCGAGAGCGAGCCCCCGTCGTCGTCGGAACCAATGCCCGATGATACCCATGGATGGACCAAATATCGTTCCACATGCTAGCTGTATATTGGACAATACGCTTAGTTGTGAGGAGCGTTTGAAGGGAAAACGGACGGACCCCGATAGCGAAGCCCTGGCAGAGCAGGAAATGCCAGTACTGGGTGCATTGGGCAACTAGAAACGTCGCGACGACGAGGAGTGTGTTTGCTAGGAAGAAGGGCAGTTTGAAGTAACCGATGTCGAACATCCGGCCGGTGATTAGACCTGGCATGAATACGAGGGAGTACTACCCCAGTGTTAGTGTTAGTGGGCCGAAGGATGGAGAGTTTGGTACCTGAACAGAACCAATCCATGCACTAAACCGATGAGAAACGAACAAAACGCGAGTAGCAAGCACTCACATCTTCGAAGAGTCCAAGTCCTTCAACAATGTTCCTTCGTAGTAGGCTTGGAATACCTGTTGTAATATAGCCATTACAACCTCGCTCGATAACAGAATGGAGAGCCTCACTCCCCAAGCGTTGACATATCCAAAACTGCGGCCGTAAAAAAACCAAGAACTTGTCAGCCCTCATGAACAATAAATAGAATGAGTCATATCCAGCACTCACGTCGAAAAGCCAGTGCACATCGTCTAAAATCCCACAAGTCACCATGATCAGTCGCGCCGTTAAATTATAGGAAATTGGAAATACGATGGTAAAAGAACTAAAAAGATTTAGCCTCCGCACTCAGAGATATACGACAATCGGCATCGTAGGTTGTCTCAAGAGAGGAAAACTTTTCTTTTCCTATTTCGAGAATCTCATCACTTTTCGAAATAGTGACAAGGAACACGGACACTCACCCCGGCAACGACTAACCAGGCTCTCAATCCACCATCGGGAAAGTCTTCCTCGAAGCCGGGGGGCGGCAGCGGCTTATCCTCGACCTCCTCTGCTTTGCCAGGTTTTCTGGCCGGAGGATTATCGATAGTCGATTGCGTTCGAGTGCGGGGAACTTGCTGGCCATGGTTGGAGAGGAAATCAAGGAGGAATAACACGATAGTCCTTATATAGTCACGCGAGCCGGTGCGAATGTTCGCAGATTCGTGAATCAGGAAGACGGCCTGAGGTAAGTACCTTCGGGAATTTGGATTTATCCGCGTAATTTGCAAATTGGTCTCTCGTCATGAGAGGGTGGCGAAAGTCACGTACTCTCACGAAGGAGTTTCACGCAGTGTGTGACAGGTGTAAAGGCTGGTCGTTGCGAAAAACCCGAGCTACTACAGCAGTACGTAGCTCTTATATACTACTAGCTAATATCAAATAGATCCTATCAGGTGCGTCGAGAACGGTGGAGCGACAACGAGGGGGAGAAATGAAGGGTAAGGACCGGGCCAAAGGCCGGCTCGTTACATACGCCCTCCTGTCCAACGAAGTTGGGCACTATAGGTAGAGTAAGAAATAAATGAGTGTAATACCCTTGAATGAAGCAAGGAAAGTTAATGAAAGGATGTATAAAGTAAAAGGACATCACGAAATCAATTGCGGGCGGTCCTCATGGTGGAATCTCCATTCGCGTCCGTTTTGTCGCCCTCCTTATCAATGTAGTAGAGCAAACCATCCTTGTCGGTATCAATGCCCTTTCCGTGATCAGGATCCGGGTCTCCATCTGCATCGATTGATCCTGCGCTGCCCTCAATGAACTCGGGGAGATCATCTGAGAGGAATCCCTCCAGCGAGTCTCCTGCAGCAGCATAGCGATCCTCGAAATCTTCATCCCACATTAATCCAGCCTTCTTATCAAGATGACGCTGGATAGCTTTTTCCTTGGCAGTCTCGCGCTGGAAGAGCATCTGATGGCCGAGGAACCGAGTCTTGTTGTACTCGCGTTCAGGAACAATAACATATCCAGGGATATTGAGCTGGCGAGGGTCGAAAAGGAACTTCATGTCGACGTGAAGCCCTTTGCTGGTAGGAGATGGGGAATTGAGATGTGCGAGGGTGTAGCCCTTAGGTCCGTTAGGATTGGTGGGACTGGGCTTGACCCATTCAACGAATTTTTCGGTCTGAGAACCCGCATTGAATGAGGCAGCGATTGCATCATAAGCAATGGGTTCAGAGCGGATCTGTCTGCACTCCGAAATGCCATCCTTGGCGTGAGTACGTCGGAGAAGGTTGTTGTGCTCAATGCATTTGAGCATGTGCACAGCATGAACCTGAGAAACAAGGCCTCCAAAAGAACCGGAGCCTGGGGCTTCGTGAACGTCAAACCATTCGCGATTTTTGCGGACAGTGAATGCCCTTGGTGGGAGCGGAATTGCCGGAGTGGGAGTGGTAGTGAGCAAGGGACGGAGGTAAGCAGGGAGCTTGCGGCCCTTCTTGCCACGGGGTCTACGTTCGCTGGGCATGGACAGTGGGAATGCAGTGGTGATGGTCCTAGAGGGAGAATAATGTAGCGGGAAATGATGGGGAAGCGGGAGCACAGGTGTGGGGGAATTCACACAACTTTGCGTACCCTTTTCTATCCTCCTAGGAGACTCAAAATCAAATGTAATGGAGCTCACAGAAATCCCGTACTGTTCTGGATCTGATGGGAGCGGTGAACGCCCCATCGGTAGGTTACCAATGGACACACAACCTAGCAAGTCAAGATAGTCAGCAAGACTGCCAAGCCCGATGAGCTGGTCATAGGGCATCCACGTAATGTCACCAGTAGTCCATTTAACTTCAAATACGGCATGATCTTTAGCGCCGTGATGCGATAGAATCCGTTCAATTTTCCACTGAGGTTCTGCTTCCGGAGTCTCTTGTATTTGAGTATCAAGACGTCCTGGAAATCTGCGATCATCATTAGGAACATGAATCCGAAGCAAGGAGGAGTGGAATACTGGATGTACTCCTCTCTGGATGAAGCTCGAAGGCAGCTCTACACGGAATGAGTGATTTCCGAAGTCCCTTGAAATTTTGTAGGGCCCGATATACTTCGGAATTAATTTGCGAGCTAGACCTTTAGCAAACTTCAAATTCTGGGTGGATACATATACCAGATCACCTTCGTGGAAAGGTTCGAAACGTCGTTTCTGATTTGCGATATGAGTTTGCTTCACCCGAGTTTCAAGAATCGCATCGTGAGCTGACATGATAGCTAAACGCCGCAATCGAGCAAATGTTCGGACAGAGGGATACTCATTCTTCGTATTCGAGTTCCATATCATGGATCGGGGTATGTGTCCAGTATTGAGCATGAACGGGGCATATCCTGTTGTCTCAGACCTGGCGCAGTTCATCGCGAACTCAATAGCTGGCAGTTTTGACACCCAATCCTTCTGAGTGGAGTCGATGCATTGCCGTAACATCTGGGTAATGGTACGATTAGCCCGTTCCATAGAGCCATCACTCTGAGGGTGATACGCACTGGACATATTCAGCTGAGTACCTGTAAGCTCGTGTAGCCTCTTCCAAAAGACACTAGTGAACAGTGAGTCACGATCACTTATAATCCGTCGTGGCATTCCGTGGTGCTTGTAGACATGCTCAAACATCAGTTCAGCCACTTGGCGGGCAGTGTAGGTTGTACAGCAGGGAACAAGATGTACCATTGAGGTAAATAGGTCAATAATAACAGTTATCGAGTCAAATGTACCATCGCGATTTTTAGAATCTGGTAACGGCCCAACAAAGTCAATTCCGATAGCCTCCCAGGGATACGACGGAACCTTGAGAGGGTGCAGCAAGCCGTAAGGCTTCTGGTTGTTAGGCTTGCTCATCTTACAAGTACGACAAGACTCACAATACGATTTCACATCCGAAACCATATCCTTCCACCACACACTCTGGCAAAGGTAATCCAATGTTTTGCTTGCCCCAAGGTGAGCTAGAATTGAATGAGCTTCCGAAATAATGATTTCTTGAGCTGTACGACCGTTTACGAGGATGCGAGGTATGCAGAGAAGTCTATCATCATCCTTCTTGAGGTACAAAAGGCCTGTATCCTGGTTCCACTCGAAGTTTGCGAAGTGTTCTGGGTTTTCTACTACTCTTTTGAAGAGAGGATCATCAGAATAGCGATGTTGAATAGCTTTTTCGAAGTCAAGGCCATTGAGCGAGGTAATGGAATTGAGCAACGTTGCCCCAGTCAAGTCTGGGTCAGCGCGGGAAATTTCCGGATCGCGGGAATTTGCTTTGCTGGCACTTTCTGCATTGATACCCTCTTGCTCTCGAGATCCACTGCCATCCTGATTTCGTTCAGGCTCCTCTTCTGTCCTAGGGCCTCTGTAGACCTTTGCTGAAGGTCCTACAAGTGGTGGATTGGAGCTCTGGGCTGTCCCCATGCTGCTAGGGCTTGGCCTTGCAGGGATCTTGATGGTGAGCTTTTCCTGCTCTTTTCCATTGCTTCCTGACCGCGTTTTTGGTTCGTTAGCTCGTTTAGGACTACTGTGGATCGTAGTGGACGACGATGAGGTCAAATCTTCGGTACTCCCGCCCTCTTGTGCGCGTCTAGGGCCGACAACGCGTACATGGCCTTTCATCCTCTTTGCGAACTCAGAAGACGTTTCTGGATGCCCAGTGTCAGCGTTGGATCGTTTAGGGAGTGCCCTGGAACGGGTTGTACGTGCTGCAAAGGCTTCCAGGCCTGCCAGCAGTGGTATGGTAATTCCGTGACTGTTCAGATGGTCCATACTGACATTATCATCATGATCAGTGTATTCCGAGCGTGCGCGGACAGTACCAGGGGTGTCGTTGGTGTATATGCGTGAGAGAGCATCCGAGAGGACGTTGGATTCACCAGGTACGTATACTATCTCGAAATCGAACGCGCTCATCTTTTCTAACCAACGCGCTTGCCTTCCTGTTAGGTCTTTCTGCTTCATAAGGTGAATCAACCCCTTATGATCCGTTATCCAAGTGAAATGAACTCCCTGTAGGATATCCCGATGGCGCAACATCGTCTCAAGACCTGCTAACATCTCCAGTTCGTGAACTGCATAGTTCTGTTGTGCCGAACTAAGCTTTGCTGAGTAGAAGGCTGCAACTTTGGCCTTCTGCCACTCATCTCCTTGTGCGACGTAGCCTGCGATGCTGGTGGAGCTCGCGTCGGTGACCATCCAGACGGGTTTGTGCTCAGGTGAGTAGTCTAATGGCACTCGGCTGTGGTTACGATGATGCTCAACGATTTCCTTGATCTCGTCAAAGGCTCGCTGTTCAGTGTAGGACCAACGGAATGGGACCGTCGAGCCTGTGAGGCCATGGAGGATTCCCATAGGGCCACGGATGCGAGGTAAGTCATCTGCGAGATATCCTACGCTTCCGAGGAATCCTGACAATAATCCTTTTGATGTAGGAGTCTTCCAGTTGATTACAGAGTCCACCTTGTCGGGATCCATACGTATACCATTATCATCAATAATACGACCGAGTACTTTCATTTCCTTTGGCAAGAAATTCAGTTTTGAAGCACTCAAGTATAGTTGCTCTCGCTTCAAGACATCAATAATGCATTTAACATGCTTAACGTGGTCCTCAATTGTGTCGGAATAGATAATAACATCATCTAGGTATACCTCCATGAAGACACCTATGTAGGGCGAGAAGATATGGTTCATCAGTGCTTGGTACGTTGCGGGTGCGTTACAATCACCCTGCTGGAGAACGAGACTGACCATATTTCCGTCAGGTGTTGTAACCGTAGTTCTATCAACATGCTCAGGAACAACTCGGATTTGCTCGTAGGCATCCTTGCCGTCAATAATGCTTCGATATTTGCACTTCGCAACACGACGCAGGATCCCTTCAATGCTCGGGAGAGGTGCTGACACCTTGCAAGTGTTGGCGTTGCGTGTGCGCAAGTCGACGACAGTCCGGAGTAAGTGTTTTTGCTTTCCTGAGGATAAGTAATCCCTTCGTTTTTGATCCCATTGTGAACGGAAGGCCTCGGGACACCGAGACGGCCTCCAGGGATATACCTTGTGCTTGTCAATCAAGGGTATCTCATGGTTAATTGCACGTAAGGGTGGCAATGGCGTTTCCGAAGCTGTTTTGCAGATGG